TTGTCCCCTGCAAAGGCTACATCTCCAGTACCCGTTTAGTGGCCTGTTAGTGTCGTTCAGTCTCTCCTAGCTGTTTGCTTCAACCTTCCCCACCTACCACTGATATTAATTCCTGCTCATTAACTCAGATCTGTTCTTGCTGCTGCTGCTGCTGTTCTGTGCGTTTTAATGCATGTTTGTGTTCACCGCAGGGCTCAGACCAGCTGCCTCTGTCTCAAGTGCTGTTCATGTTTATGAATGAGCTGCTGCGTGCAATCAGGAAGGGTCCTTGGAAAGCAGAGCAATAGGTAACACAGAAGATACTGGTTCATTCCTCTGTGCTCCTCTTTTGCTAGTTAAATAATTTTCCATTCAGCCTTCCTAGTTGTAAAAATTGACCATGAACCCCTTCATTTAGAGGAATGTGGTGGTGTTTTATATTTCCCTGTTGCTTTGCTGCTTGCAAGGACCACCTGACAGACACCTATTCCTGAGCACTTGGCCTGCTGCAYATCACAGGCATCGCTGATGAACATGTTAGGGCTCAGTCTCACGGGTGCATCCTCCTACCTTAAAAAGTCACTCCACATAAGCAGATCTGTGATGTCTGTGTCCATGCCCTTAGCCTGCAGCAAATGCCAGGCATCCAATTTGCTTTAGATCACTCAGAAYGTGGGCTAAGTGAAAGTTGCATTATTTTGCATTACCCATGGGCTCTGCGCCAGCAGTTTCTGCCCCTCATCTGTGGCTCATCTGCTGCATATTGATCCATTATTGCTCTGCCTTGTTACCCTCGGCTGTGCCAAGACCTGATCTTGAGTCCCAGGTGCATTAAGGCCATGACAAATACACCCAAGTCTTTATTTCTTTCACCCTGAATAATATCCATGCYGCCCTGTTTTCTGTAGCAGCTCTGCCCTGCTCACTGTGCAGCTAGCCAGCSCTGATAACACTTCAGAAATAGGTACTATGTAGGGATATGACTTCTCTCATTTTATTTTCACCCTGCTAAGTGTTTCATGCCCATTTGCCCTGTCGCTGTCAGTYTTTGCTTTGCTGTGATTTATCTCCCTGGGTTGTGGGTATCTCTGTGTGAGATGTCCCACTGCCTGTGCACACGGCCAGTGCTGTTCCCTTATGGCTATGCATATTTGTGCAAAGACTGGCTTGCATCTTGTGGGGCTGCCAGGAAAATACCTGTGTGCATGGGCAGATTTCCTTGGAAGCCCCTTCTCATAGAACCATGGAATCCTTAAGGCTGGAAGGGACCTTTAGAAATCACCTAGTCCAACCCCCTGCACATGCAGGGTCACCTAGAGCAGGTGGCACAGGGCTGCATCCTTCTTACCTCTTGTGTAGCTGCTGATGTGCAGCAGCCCCCTGAAGAAGACCTAGCCTAGGATACAGCAGCTTCATCTCACAGTGTGGCTCCTGTAAATGAAAGTTTGGTGGCCTTCCCCCGCAGAGTTCACTGCAAGATCTTAGCCAGGCTGTATTCCTCAAGCCAGACGTGGTTTGGGTCACAGGTTAGCAGTACAAGCTTCAATCCATTSCAATGCCACCTGCTTCTCTTGCAAAGGGATTTGAGCACTTCCCACTCCCTGCTAGTTACAGTCCTCTCAAATTTACCAGCTTTACTTTGTTACTCTTTTTCATTTCTTTTTTGCTTTCCTTTTTTCTTCTCTTGACAGTCACTATGACAAATTGCTGTGCAGTGGAGTAGAAGGGAAGACCACAAACCTAATTTTCCTCCTCCTCAAGTCACCCCTCATGGTTTTAACTGCCCGTCAGCCTGCCTGCAGCCCTGCTATGCTTTTTGATTAATATTAATTGAATAATATCAATAATAATAATACTAACAGGACATGAATAATTATTGTCACAATTGAGACATTAAATCATTGTAAGTAATATTGTCCTCATTTTCAATAGAGCTTGAGAAGGTGCTGGACTTTAAGGAAAGTCCCATTTGTGCTCTTTAAAATAAACCCCAAGTAACTTTTCAGCATGTTCTCCGGGGATAGCTTAGCATGAAGACATGCTAAGTTGCCAGAATTGTGGGGTTTGGGGTTTTTTTTGTACTTTTAGTGCAATGATGGAAATATGGAGTGAACTCAAGGGTTCAAGTTGGCCAGAGCAGGTAAAGTTTTTTCCTGGCCTTAAAACATATTAATGTACGAACTTAATGTATTAATGTACAATTAGTTCCTTCAGCAAGTAGGAACTAATCCACTTAGGCCTTTCAGAGCTGTACGAGCTCTTCAAGGTAATTTTAAATAAAAGCTGCTCCTTTATTTTATTTTTCTTAAATCAAGCATAGCATATTCAACTCTAACCTGACTTGCTCAGTGAAAAAGCACTCTGTAGCTCTTTCCTCTGCAAAAAAAGTCAGTATTTCCTAAAAGGAAAACTGATAGACTTGTCTTCTGAATATCAATTGAAGTTTTCTTTTGTGAAATTGGTGTTCTCAGGAAGCTTTTTTCTAGCACACTCTCTGGTTCATTAGACAGCATTTGTCTTCTTCAGTGACTGCCTAACCTTTGCTTTTCTTCTTCAATTCATAAAAGACTATGCAATTCTTGTTATTAACACTTAACTTTTCACTCAATCCATGGATGATATATTGCAAAAGTTTATAATGAAAATAAGCAGCAGGTCGAATAAGGTTGCTAAAAATTAAAAATGAGAAACTCATCCATCCATTTCATTATTTTATCTGAACTAGAGGTCTGTAAAGTCTGAGAATCAGATGCTGCACTGTGTGAGAAATGATTTTACYAGTAGTGAGCCACCAGGCTCACAGGCAGAAGTGAGGCCAGGGAGTCTGTCAGAAAGCACATAAAATGTCAGCATCAAGGCTAGTGGGGCACTGTATTTAGCTATACTCTACATGGAACCCACATTGAGAATAATTCAAGGTTTTTAAAAAGTAAAATGATGACTTTTCAGACTCATTTTACCTGCTGTCTGAGACAGTTACATTAAGAAAAAACAACAGTCTTCAGAATATACATTAATTTGTGTTGTTAAAGTTACTAACAAAGGACTACTACTAACTAACAACTGTTAGTTGCAGGCTGGTGTCATTTAAAACTAAATCACTGATAATCCCTAATAACAGCTACCTTACATTTTACATCAAGAGGGAATGGGCAGCGGATAAGAATTTGCACAGCAAAACATTTTCAAGCACATCTAAGTATGCGTTGCTAATAATCCAGGCCTTAAGCAGTGTGACAAGAAGAAATTTAAATATTCAGTGTTGTGCTCCTTTAGGATCTAGACTGACAACAGAGATGCCCTGTCCAATATTTACTCCATTCCAACACTTACCTGTTTGGTRCTATTTCCAAAGGAGCCGAACTCTGTGCAGACAGTAAAGGAACAGTTGTGTTGCACAGAGTGTACTTGAACAAGCTCAACAAGCTCACTGGCAAAAACTTTTATGCACAGGGTCCATCACTGAATACACGGGGATACATAGGGATCACACAGAATCTAATGTTGAAAGCTATTCTGGGGCAAAGAATAAAAAAAAATGCTTTAATGGTTACAATAGCACTAAAGGAAGGCAAGGTATGAAGGCAGAAGTAATATTTTCTATTAGATCAACTGACAGAAATCACACCCTGAAGAAACGCTTGTTCAGCAAAAGCATATCCATCTTCTCTGRTTTTGTCAGTCAATCTAATCAATCTTCAAGTTTCCTTCTCTTATATAGCTTTTTTCACAGCATCTTTCAGCATTTCATGCAAAGATCCAAAGTTAGGCAGAGCTCAGACTTGTCAATCTAAAACAGCTYTTCAGAGCACCTACTGATGTCCAGGTCTGAGAAGCTTCTGAGCAGCTGGACCATTTCCAGGTCAGGGTCTTCTCCTAGGGCCTGACGACCCATAGCTGCTCATACTATGTCCTTTTCTTTGGCACATGGGCTTTGCTTTGGTCACAGCCACACTTATGCACCAGGCTGTTGGCCGTGGTCTGACCGTAGACTGCATTAAAGCCACACTTCTTAGTGTTTTACCTCCTGGTGGTGCAATCCAGGCCCACAGACTGGATGGCCACTAGCACATATTGTCTCTGGCAAAAGAAAGGAAATTAACCATTCATAGACAACTTGTTGACAGTCAAGTCCAGGGCAGGTCTCAATGTCTACATGTTGAAACCAAGCAGAAAGGAAAGCAATTAACACTGCCAAAGACAAGAAAAAAAAGCAAAAGGGAAAGCCTAGGTGCTCCTCAAGGCCAAGGAGGTCTGTGTTCTGGGAATGGTGTTGAGTTATTCGATAAAAGGCGTTCATGTTGCACTCAGCTTAATTTCTCATTAAGCATCTGGAATTAAAGCAGTGTGTTGGAAACCCCTTCACTCRTCCCCTTTTGCCACTTGTGGTCCCACCACCCAGCAGGCGGGAGGAATTGCATTTTCTCACCTCTGTAAAGCATAAGTCCTGCTGTCCTCTCCACTCAGTATCTKCATGTTAATTATTCATTATTTTTATTAAGAAAAACTGAGACATGCTATAGCTGTGTAGATGAAAAGAAATCAGCATCATTCCCTCTCTCCTCCCCTTTCCTCACGCCTTCGCATTTTGAGATTGTCCTAAGCCTATATACACTTGAATTAGAGAAATGGCTATTTTCTATCAGCAATAAAACTTTACATGTTTTTCCTCTACCGATTATTCATAGATTCACGGATCCACAATCATCCACGTCACAGACTGAGGGAGATGAGGCTGGGACAGGATAATAGCCTCTAAATCCCCTTCTGTAAGCACTCAGATCTTCCCTGTCAGCAAGATTAAAGCGGTCAACAGCAGTCTTTGCTTGTCTGTATCTCACACTGAGCTTTCGCCACTGGACCGGAGGCTGGCAGGGAGGAAAATGCAGAACTGCTGCTGCGCGTGATGCTCCTGAGATAGAAGAAAGCACAACTGTCATCTCCCGGGATTTTGCCAAGGACCGGTGATCATTTCCCAGCCAGGTGAATGCAAAGGAAAGGGAAGAGTAAGGAAAAATACTATGCTGCAGTTTAACCAGAGGGGGCAGTTTCTATTCCCGAAACATAACGTAAGGGAGAGCGAAGCATCGAACGCTCTAGCAGCGTTGGAGGCAAGGAAGGAAAACGAGAGCGGGTGCTTGGAAAAGCAGAGCGGCTTTCCCGACGCCGCGCCGCTGAGCTCCCAGCCCCTGCTGCTCCTGGGGCCCGAGGGCAACTACAACTACTACGTGGACGATGAGGACGAGGAAGAGGAAGAACAAGGGAAGTGGCCGGGCGGGGACTCCTTGGAGGGGGAAAACAAGCCCTCCTCGCCGGCTCCGTGCTCCCCTTCGCTGCCGGYGGGAGCCCCGGCCTCCACCTCGTCCGTGCTGAACATCAACGTGGGCGGCCAGAGCTACCGCCTCACCTACCAGGCCGTGGCCGTCTACCCCAAGACACGCCTGGGCCGCCTGGCCACCTCCACCGACCGCCGCTGCCAGCTGGGCCTGTGCGACGACTACGCGGCCCAGGTGGACGAGTACTTCTTCGACCGCGACCCGGCCGTCTTCCAGCTCGTCTACAACTTCTACGCGTCGGGGGTGCTGCGCGTGCGGGACGAGCTCTGCCCGCGCAGCTTCCTGGAGGAGCTGAGCTACTGGGGCGTGCGGCTCAAGTACACGCCGCGCTGCTGCCGCATCTGCTTCGAGGAGCGGCGCGACGAGCTCAGCGAGCAGCTCAAGGTGCAGCGCGAGCTGCGCTCGCAGGCCGAGGCGCARGAGAACGAGCAGCTCTTCCACCACATGCGCTACTACGGCCCCCAGCGCTGGCACCTCTGGAACCTCATGGAGAAGCCCTTCTCCTCGGTCACCGCCAAGGTGATGGCCGTGGCCTCCAGCTTCTTCGTGCTCATCTCCGTGGTGGCCCTGGCGCTCAACACGGTGGAGGAGATGCAGCAGGTGGACCGCAAGAGCGGGGAGAGCCGCCCCGTGCTGGAGCACATCGAGACGCTCTGCATCGCCTTCTTCACGCTGGAGTACCTGCTGCGCCTCGTCTCCACGCCYGACCTGCGCCGCTTCGCCAGCAGCGCCCTCAACGCCGTGGACCTCATCGCCATCCTGCCCCTGTACCTCCAGCTGCTGCTGGAGTGCTTCGCCGACGACGACCAGCCGCGGGGACGGGGCTCGCAGCACGAGCATGACATCGAGAAGGTGGGGCGGGTGGGCAAGGTGGGGCAGGTGCTCCGCATCATGCGCCTCATGCGCATCTTCCGCATCCTCAAGCTGGCTCGGCACTCCACGGGGCTGCGTGCCTTCGGCTTCACCTTGCGCCAGTGCTACCAGCAGGTGGGCTGCCTGCTGCTCTTCATCGCCATGGGCATCTTCGCCTTCTCCGCCATGGTCTACACGGTGGAGCACGACGTCTCCAGCACCAACTTCACCAGCATCCCCCACGCGTGGTGGTGGGCGGCCGTAAGTACAAACATCACCTTGCTGGGCAGCCAGGAGCACCTCCCTCCCCTTCGCAGCTAGAGGGGAGGGAGGTCTGGAAAACAGCAGGCTGAGATCAGTGGACATCTGCTCCGAATTCCGGGCTTACGGGGCATATGCACTCACACACGCGCACTCACCTCCTCTGCAGGCTTAAAGTAGGGCTTAATCAGGCGGACGGTGTTGAAATTCCCCTCCCTYCATAATGCACATGGGGCTTGTCCTTTAATGAAGGAGTGAGCAAACGGATGGGAAAGGAAAGAATTTCCTTACTTAATCAAATTATCAACTAAAAAAAATAACAAAAAGTATGCGTCAGGGTAGCAGGTTGCAGAAGGATATGCTTTTTTTCTTTTTTTTTTTTTTCATTTTCATTTCTGCTGCTATTTTTCAATGCCTATGTCGACCTGACAAAAGGYTACAAGAAGCTGACATATAGTTTAGGTGCTATTCATTAGAATCTGGACAGCCAAAATTGCAAATTTGAGTCTTCCCCAGAGCCCTGGCCATGAAAAATGCACATAAAGCCAGCAATTGTTCTCCATAAGGAACTATATCCTGTTCTTTAGCTGGCACTCCTAGGACATAGGCACGTAAAGGAAATATGTGTGGTATTTATGCTGTGTCCAGACTTGCACAGAAGTAAACTGAAAAGGCACAGAATGGCTCAGGGAGAGAAAAAGGTTGAACTGCCTGGTTCGAAACCCACATCAGTCAATAGTGACAGCAGGTTAATGTCACCTTGCACCTTCTTCTTTTGCAGCTGCTGCAGGGAGCAGCGCGATTTTAGCCCTGTCACAAACAGGGAGATTATCACACTGCAAAAATGCAAAAGCAGCGATTGGAGTGAGGGCGWCGGTCTGAATTTCAGCTGGCGTGCCCCAGAAATGGGGACAGGATGACATCGTTTTCAGAGGCCGCTGGGGAGGGCAGTGCCCCCGGGCAGAGTCTGASCTCTCACTGGTCCACACTGGAGGCAGCATTTTCAAAGCTGGTGGTTCCAAGTCTTTCTAGGGCATGAAAATTTAGCCAGGGACATTGAGCTGTAGCCCTTCTGGTTTCCCCACCTGCTCTCACAGAACAAAACTCAAGACTTTTGCAGTGTTTGGAATCGGTTTTCACTGCAGACACACGAGCAACCAAGGGCTGGCATGCAACCATGCACTCGGTTCCAAAAGGCCACTTTTTCCCTCAAATCCCTGCAGTATCACAGGGCTGGTGCCGCTTTCCAAGGTGAGCCGTGGAGACACACAGGTGCACGAACTTGCACAAAGGTGCTGAGTGTCCCCAAGCTGGGCAGTGCTCGTGGGAAAGCCTCATGCCACCCTTAAGTGACATGCAAAGGTTATGAAAATAAAAAATCACACCTTGTACCTAACCGGAATAAGGTGTTTCCTTGTATTTTGTTTTCTGGACATGCAGGGATACATGCAAACTTCTTAGGGCTCTCTCATGCAAGCTGCTGGGCTCACTGTCATCCTGAAACTCTTACAAAGCCCATACAATTATGCATGTGACAAAAGCCTGTTTAGCTCAGCAAGGGCCTCCCAAAGAGGAGCACATTGCAATTCTATGGCATAAGATGCCATATGGCAAGAATATTTATTCTTTAAGAATAGAAATTAACATATTCAGATCATTCTAATTTCAATAAAATCCACCAGTGCCCTCAGGCTCACACACGCAAACCCACAGTTTTCCTTTCCACACTGCCATAGGTGATGTAGAAGAGGATGCCAGTGGAACAGGACCTTATCATAGGATAATGACACTGTCCTGGCTGGTAGAGATAAACATCTTGCCTCCATCTCAGTATTTATTTTTGGAGATATTTATCCTGTATTATCATTCAAATCCAGTGACTTAATTTCCATTAAACCAAATGACTAATCCCTTTTATTCCGCAGGAAGCACCAGGTGCATCCTACAAATATGCTTATCCAGTGCTGTCTCATGCACCCTAATGCTTTCTTCATCTGAAATAACATTTTATTTAGCATGTTAGAGGATGGCAGACTGCGCACTGTGACCTTCCAGAGACTTATTTCAGTGCTAAAGCCACAAGGGCATTGCAATGAAACCCCTATTTTCTGCAATTTAGCCATTTCTGGCAGAATTTTGCATTACCTTTTCACAGCTGTGTACAGTGTCTTCAGCTGCTGTGAAAAATATGAAATAAGATCGTTCGGCTGAAAAATATCCCTTGCTTAGGAGTCAGATTAGGAAGCGACAGATTGCAGAATCCTTAAAGTCATGCCTAACAGAGAGAGAGAGAGAGAGAGAGAAAAAAAGAGCTATATTTATTAAATGTAAAGATTATAAACAATCAAGATATGTGGTTTGGAAGAATGTAACTTAGGAGTTATTTATGCCAGTAGTTTGGGAGTTATCATTCAGATGCAATGTCCCCATAAGCAAACACCTCATGGACATGTGGTAGCCCAAACCAAATTATACCAAGGCAGGGTTGCAGGGCTCAGTGCAGTAACCAGCACATATAGAACACAGCTCTTTCCTACATAGCTAAGAAGAAGAGTCTATGAAGTGGAGCAGTTAATGTGACGGCAAGATTTGTGTGTTCATATAAGATGGAGATGCTAAATACACTCCTATTCAAAAAAAAAAAAAAAGGGAAAAAAAAGAATTAAAAAAAAAAGAAATCATATTTATTCAATCACTGAGCCCTTTTTCAAGGCAGAATTGAGCCAAAATTTCCTTGTACCTGTTGGATGAAAGAAACAGGAGTGATCCCTATTGAAGGCACTCATGTAACAGGTTTCCAAACCTCTGACATATAGCTGAGCAAGAACAGACAATTTAGCACCATAAATGCATAAGCATATAGAGCAAGTAAAGAGTTCTGAGGCACCTGAACGAGACGTATTTATTTGTTTATTTATTTTTCCCTATAGCTCCTTACAATTATGTAACCATTAAAGGGAACTTTATTTAGAAGCTTCAAACACAATAGATCATGGGCTGCTTCTCTTCATAGAGCAGACATTATCAAAATATATTTTGCAATTAGATGAAGCTTTCCACATGATTTTCATTACTGTACTCTTCATTATATATATGATATATGTAATATATGGCATATAGGTGGTACATATAGAACAAGTGTGTGTTGTGTGAGTGTGCTTGGAATGTATATAACACATGACAAAGTTGATTTTCCCTACATAATGCCTACCCCAGCAAATTCTCCTGAGGTTTTGCAAGCACACAGGGTGCTAACTTTTAAATTGCTATCTAGACATACAAGGGGACACCTGCTTGCTCCTGGCTGGCACAGCTAACACCCCTTTGCCCTCAGGTGAGCATCTCCACGGTGGGCTACGGCGATATGTGCCCCGAGACCCACCTGGGCCGCCTCTTCGCCTTYCTCTGCATTGCTTTCGGCATCATCCTCAACGGCATGCCCATCTCCATCCTCTACAACAAGTTCTCGGACTACTACAGCAAGCTGAAGGCCTACGAGTACACGGCCCTCAAGAAAGAGAGGGGCAAGGTGGACTTCACGCGGCGGGCCGTGAAGAAGCTCTCCGAGTGCTGCGGGGAAGGCGCTGGCCGCCCCGCGCTGCGCACCTGATGCTGCCCAACGCCCTGAGCATCGGGGCACCTTGGCACAGGGAAACCTGCTCCCACCGGAATGGAGATGATGTTGGAAGGCCTCCCGAAACCACTTTTCCATCGGGAGAGCGGCGTAAGCTGTGCATCGGCAGCGCCCGTGCAACTTAGGCGTCCCACTCCTATGTACACTGTCGTGTAGTTATGGCTTCGCCTGCCAGTTTTACCTGTCCAGAGAACTGTCCTGCTTAGGTGAGGTGAGAAAGGCCTCAGTGTGGCCATTTCAGCCCCTGCCACCTCCTTCGTGACCCATCATGATGGGAAGAGCCAACAGAGAAGCCTGGAGCCTGAGCTGACTCCCAAAGCATTCCCAGGTCAAAAGCTTTGGTTTTATTTTTTTCGGATTTAGGATTAAGTGATAAAAATAAATTTGTGTTACAATGTTTGGCGTGTTTTCTTATTGAGTGGTTAGGAGAAAAATGGATCTGTCATGGGACACAAACATTAGAGCAAGTTCTGAAAAAATGTTGGAATGAAGCATGTGGTGAATAATAGCTTGCAAAGAATTTTCCTAAAAAGGATCTTATCAGTACCTATTTATAACAGTTTTTAAATACAATTTGACCACAAGTTATTTGGAACTTATTTCAGCAATTGGCGAGATTGTAATGAACGGGAAGCGGGGCATCCGTTTTTCTGGTACAAACAGTCATTGAGGACACATTTCCGACACATTGGCTCCCATCCAGTAGCRACTTATTCCCCGGGATTACTCAGCCTCTTTGCACAGCTGCATTTAACTTCCCCCATTAAAAAACATGGGAAGTTGACCCCAAAAAGCAACAACAAAGAAAACGTAGTAAGTCCAAAATTAAATCTATTAGTTTGTAGAAGATATGAAATGTTTTTATCATCATCTTCATCATCATCACCCTCATTTCTAAACCACCCTGGTGCCTGCACTGCTGGGATGGTGAGCTAGCCATCAAGAATGGCAAGTGGATGTTCTTTTACTTGCCCAAGGGGATTTTTATGCRCAGGTCCCATATGGCTCCACCAACTGTTCCCATAACTCGAATCGGGTCCCTCTGAAACCTCCAGCAGAAGCTGCTCCACTTTGGATGGGGTGTTAATAATGATGCATCAGGCTACGGTAACAGGAAAGCTGAGCAGGCTGGTGCCTGTGACACTCATTTGGGTGCAAAGCTCTGGACAACTGGTTGTTGAGGAGAACCTTGACTATCCTGGCTGAGCAGCAACCCTGCTCCCAAAGACTGCTCTCCCCAAATCCAAGGGGTCTCTGGCCTTTGGGTGGCTAAACTCACCCTGCACTCAACCCAAAACAGAAATGAACAGGCATGGGCCAAGATACTCACTCTGGATGTGCAGGAGAATAATTCCAGTCTCCATGGGGAGAGGAGAAGAAAATCCTCTCTCTCCACACACTTGCCTCTCTCCACCATTCAGCCCCACCACCTTGATGGCACCTCTGGTGCCTTTTGCCTCTGTGACTAAGTACAAAAATGTGAAATATGGGTGTGCAGGGTAAGATTCTTGACTGATTGATAGCCAAAATGTGTTCCGATTTGAGCTCTGAGCAATGCTGGAGGTGGCACAAGGTGCATGGTAGGGCTGTGCAGGTGGAAGGACCGACCTCTGGCAGCAGTTAAACACACATGAAGCGCAACGTTGTCATTTTCCTATCTTGTGAGTAATAACTCGCTCAATTGCCTTGCTCCGTTCAGCAGGGAGCAGGTCCCCCACAGACTGGAATTTATTGTTCATTTTATTATCAAACACCCAGCATTTGTTTCCTCTGGATTATCTCATACAGCTTGCTCTCCAGAGCATTTCGCCTGTTGTGGCTTAACTGATGTTATTTTCAGTTCACGCTGCTCCAGCATAAACTGGTGGATTCCAGCAGGGAAGAGCACAGCCAGAAATCGAGTATCGCGACACCGGCCTAAATCCCAAATCCTGCCGGAGCAAAATGCAGCCCCGTGGCTGCTGCTGGCTGTGCCTAGCGGGCCAGCTGGRCTTGGAGCAGGAGCTGGCACTTCTCCAGCTCCAGCTAATCCGGCGATTCCTCCGGAGAAAGACCGCTCTTCATTTACCCAGCCACAACCACTAAGACTTCCAGAAGCATCTCCGGTGTCCCCAGATTACTGGGATGAAATAGCCAAGCGCTTTGCGCAATGACATCAAGAGGTAATGTAGGATAGCCTTGGTTATCTTGATTACTCGAGTGCCACAGGGCTTAGAAAATTGGAAAAAAAAAATAAAAAAAGTAGCAAACAACATCAAAGGAAGACATGCATACATACGCACGATGTAGATGGGCAATGACACTAAAGCTACAGCAGAAAGACCCTGTTTTAAGAAACAAGGATTTTATACAGTTAGTGTTTGGGTGAGACAGGGCGCAGGGTGGTTCTCACACCATTGAGAAATTAGACTGTTTTCCATATGTGACCACGTTCAAATCTTCCACTTTAACTAATTGCAGACATTAACGAGCCCCAGAGGGAGCTCTTTATATTCATAAATCCTACCCGTATGTTTCAGAGCAGGCTTGGCAAGCATCTGGCCTCTCACAGACAAAGAAACACCCCGCTTATCTGGATGGCCTAGCCTCATTTCTGTACAACTACGCATTATTGTCCGACTCATTTTAGGCCAGGGAATTACCTAACAGGAAAATGGGTGGCAGGTGGGAGTGGGAATCCTTAAATTGTGTCTGTATATTAAGCAGAAAATAACAACTCCAAAACGCATACGCTTTTTCACAGCCTTAGAATAACATCATTTTTTTCAATTCAGTTAAGCCGTTGTTTGCTTTTCTCTTTCAGAAAGATAGTGATTAAAGAGGCAACTGCAGTACTCAAAGAGGTAGCTGCTGTACAGGGCATCTGTTGCTGTTCCCAGGCCTTTAGGGCAAATAGGAACATTCAGTGTTTAGATATGAATACAATAAGCTAGCCATACTTTAAAGAGAGCATTATTTTTGGAGAAAATAACAACTATCAATAAACTAGCAAAGAAAAAAGAATGTGCTTATGTGCTTGCTTAAAAATAGCTTTAACTGCTTAGAATGATCCTTGTCTTATGTCATGTAAAAATATTTGATCCATGCTTATTTGCTATTTACAAAACCTTCATCAAYTTATTTCTGCACTGGAGAAATTACATGGCAACCTCCTGGAATGTGGCTCTTTATCTTGGATTAAAAAAAAAAAAAAGGAAAGGTGAGAGGCACGAGCTTTTTCTGTGTATTTGAGTAATTTAATGGAAACATACTGAGAAAAATCAAAGCATTCCAAAGTTAGTTCTTGAGACAGAGTTTTTTTTGCTTTTCTTAATAAAGCATGTCATAGATCAATTCTAGTCTCTAAAATGACTCTATTTCTGCACTGGATTTGCTCCATTCTTAAGCAAAGTATCTTTTCCCCCTATTAATAACCATGGGGYTACTGGCCTAAGAAGTCAGTCCATCACCACCACTAACTTCTTTGGGTTCCCCGCTGTTTCCTTCACCTGTTATGGGGCATGAAACGTGTCACAACTGCACCAAAGTCACCAGCCAAGGCTGGCATTACCCAGAGCATTCACCAAATCCTTCCTTGTGGATGGACTTTGCAAAGCTGCTGTGTTCTGGTGGACATGCCAAGGGAAAGATGTGGGCCACGACCAAGGTGAAACCCAGCCTGATTCCTCTCAAAAAGGTTGGACTCCCAAGTCAAATTTCCGTGGTTTTAGCCCCACGACAAGCTGGAGCCACGATGGGATCCTAGGGACTCCTCCAACATCTCCACGCTTCCCAGTCAGCCCTTCAGGGTGAGATTCTAGTATTTGTCATAACATCCAAGTGTGTCGTTTTGAGTGAAAAGTGATGGAAATGCGGGGCAGAGGGGAAGCATTTTTGGAAACTCAGGAACCCCTCCTAAGTGCATCCGTGCCCTGATGGTTTGTTTCTCCACGGCATGGGCTCCTACAGGGCAACACAGACTGGTTTCTTGCAGCAATCACCGTCTCTGCATGGAAAACAGTTCACTGCTGACATCCAGAGGCGGCACCGGGACCCCATGGAACAGAGAGCACGCAGACACCCAGCCGTGACCAAAATCTGCATTTCGCACGACAAAACAGAAACGCCWTTGCTCCCACCAGAAAATTAGCCAGGAGGTGCAAAAATAACATCTAAAGTTACTGTAATTGAAGGTCACGTGGATTTTTCTGGATGACACTGGATATGCTCTGTGTTGTATTAACAGGATGAAACAGAAGCAGTCAAAGCATGGCCAAAAAACAAATATCACACCACTGCAAGCATGCAGCACGTGAAACAGTGGCCTTTTTCTGGTATTTTCCCACGCAGTCTGTGCACCGCACAAAAGAACACACTTAATAACGTGCACAGTTACCTGACCTTAATGCATCATACATAACCTTAAAGCATTGTATGGCAGACACCCTCAGCACATTGAAAACAGACAAAAACAAGCAATTTGAGGTGCAAATTCCATCTATGCCATGAGCAGCTTTTCCTCCAGGCCAAGTGCTTGTGCCAGTGTCTGCCTCACTCCCCACCGACCCCCAAGCAGTGCTCTGAGGAGATGAAGTTAAATCTTCATCCGTCAAAGCAAAGGTCCTTCAAAAAGGGCGGGATACTGCTTAAAATACCAAACTCAACGTTGTGCTTGGCACCTGTCGTCAAGCAGGAGGTTTTCCAAGGGAAAACACTGCAGTGGCATGGGTTCTGGCGGGCAGGCTCTGCTAATTCCCCAGTGCCCATGCYTTGACTAGAGTAAACATCAAGCTATTTGGCATGAAAATGGCAAATACAGGAAAAAAAAAAGCTTTTTTTTTTTTTTTAGGTAACAAATCAATTCAGACATTTCTCAAAATATGTCTTTAAACTGAAACTGCTTGATCTTCTCACCAACCATTTTTGAAAGACTTTGAAACAGGCTTTTTATCCATTTTTTTACCTCTCCAGGCAGAGCATAACAGAGAAAAAATGGAAATTAATGCCACAGCAGAGGTAGTGGTGCCAACAATTTATTAAGTAATCCCAGAAAGGACCTCAAACATAGGAAAAAATTACTTTGACAGGCATGAAAACTGGTGCTATTGCCATCCAGTGAAAACGACAGCAGATATTGTGGCATCTACATAGAGAAGAACAGAGTGGTTAGAGTATGGCAAACATCTAACCCAAAGCCCTGCACAAGAAGGGTCACCTAGAGCACCTTGCGCTTTGTTTATGTATATTTGATGTGTCTCTCTCTATATTTTTTAAATCACCGTTAATGCTTTAAAGTGAAATTCCTAGGAGTTTTCTTGCTAGTAAAATATGTCATCTCTCTTGCATCTGTTCTTCAAACACACAAACTGCTTCTGGTGACTTCTTAATTCGGTGCCTCTGGCACCGATACACAAATGCCTGCAGACCCAGGGCCCTTGTTCATTCCTTCCATTAAGCTTTTTATGGCTATTCCACTGTTTTTTTTTGAATATTTTTCTGCTATTTTTRTAACTATTCCACAGTGCAATCTATGCAGACCTATTTTGCCTGCTGTAGCTGACAAAGAAAAAACAGATGTGGGGAAGATGGAGAAAATGAGGAAAAATGCTGGAGGAATGATATGCCAAAAGGGCCTTTTGATTTTCAGAAAGCAGATGCAGAAACCTGTGCACCATAGCGAGGCTAAAGGGACTTTGACAATGATCTCGAAGGTGATAATGCAAACTGTCCAACACTCTGTGGGCTTCCTGCAAGATGCAGCAAGTATCTCCTATTTGTGCAATTAATAATGAGGCTTCCTTGAGCATTTAACAAGCCTCAGCACAAAAAAAAAATGTAGGATATGATTATCAGGATCTTTTTCCCTCCACACATCCCATAGGAATTGCCAGATACACTTTATACAAAAATGCCCCGTGCCAGCTCCTGTGCCTTCATGCAGAGGTCTCCACATCCACTCTAAAGAGCCTACAACCCAATGATAAAATTCACATGCAAGACATATTGTCCCAAATAAATGACTAAGGTTGTAAAGGTCCTCCCTAAGTCTATTTCAAAAAAAAAAAAAAAAAAAAAAAAAAAAAAAAAAAAATTGAGCCAATTTATCTGTTTTGCCAATTTATTGGCAAAAAGCCAATAAAACAGTTTTTACCCCTCCATTCCTCTCTGCTCTCTCCATCCTACACCAGGATACCCCAGAATTTGATTTCAAGCAACTTTGAAGTTATACCATGAGAGCAGAATTTATTTAAGCTCTGTTCCTGCTAGGAAAATAATGAGATGTTTAGGACAACCTTGGCAAATGCCTATTTTAAAGTGGTATTTCTTTAACTGTGGACTGTAAGAAAAAATACCTTCAGCTACACCAAGTTATTCTTTAATTGCAATGGAATTTATTGCATTATCTTTATTATTGCATTATAATTGCATGGAATTTAGAAAGAAGCCATGCACAGAGTCTCAGAAATGCAAACAAACTGTTGGGAGATACTTGGTTAGAGCAACTGYCATTTAGAATTAAAGCACCTAGTTAAAACATCAAATTAGATTCACTTTGGCATACTTTCCACACAGATTTCTGATGGTCAGTTGACTGATGATGAACTGTCCTCATCTATGACTTAGTTTTTCTGTTGTCTTTAACTGCCACAACTGGAAGTATTTCTCYGTGCCAGATTTTAACCAGTAATTTAATCTCCTCAATAATCTCAAGATAATAAAGCCAGTTTTTCAGCTTTTATTTTACTCTCCCATTAAATATGCAGTTACAAATGCTATTTCATATTTCTGTTAGGTTGTTATTTTGGGCAGTARCTAAGGCCTCAGAAGGAGTCCACCAGAGTTTAAATTCATTATCTGATGCTAATTAAGATCATCTGTTTCATTGTCACAAGAGACAATCCTGTTAAGGGCAGCTGATGAGCTTGCAACCTTCAGCAGCTGATGCTGGAATGGATACCCCTGTACAAGCATGACCGTCTCCTATCAGTGCTRATCAGGCCTAATTGGGATTAACCTTTAGGTATCTCCTAGTACTCATAGGCTTAGGTGGAGTTAGAACCAAGCACCCTTGGCAGAGCAGCAGCAAGACAGCAGGTACAGACAGAAATAAGCAGCCCTGGAGCCATTCATTTTAATGTAATGTTCATGAACTGCTTAAGCTAACTCAACAGGAAGTGAACTATTMATTACAATTGAATTTATGATTTAAAATCTGTCTATTTGGGTATCTTGGTATATTTTATATTCCAAAGCGCTTCTYCCCAAGCGAAACAGGTGAGAAGCATGATAACTATTTCCTGTGAAGATGAAATGGTGTATTTCACTGGTTTTCGATAACAATAAGCTATTTACTCATACACACATAGAAAATATATTTATCAATTTCAGCACCTGTAAACAGCCTTTGCAGTTTCATTTTTTGTTCCTAAGAGAAGCAGAATATTTTATTTTTCATGCCAAGCAGGCAGGTCTGTTTCAGGACTTGACTAAGTAATCTGATTTYCAGGGATGCCAAGCACTGGGTCATCACAACTTCTGATTAAAGAATGTTCTTATTATAGAAGAGAGACGTTTAGTTTAAAAACTAAGAACTTCACGACAGCACTACAGRTAATAGGTTATATGTTCTGGAATTTCTCCAGGAAAGTTTTTCAAAAAAATACATTATAAACACTGCAATGTTTTACTACCATCTACAATCATGAAAGTCTTACCAAGAAAACRATTTTTGTTGGTGCTTCTAAGTCCCGGGATTCCCCTTTTTTAAACAAAAGTTTCTGGAAGTGCCTACTTTAACTAAAACACAGGGGAATATCTCATCCCCCCAACCCAAGGAAAGAACAAACCGCAAGTAACACAGGAAAAGTGTTCTTTTTGGTTCTCACACAAATAAAGATTCAAATCCCCTATTTCAATAGGTTCACACCAATAATTGCCCAATTTACCAAAAGCAGGACTATACTGCACCAGAGCTGCAATCTGGTGTTACTCATTTGTAAAAGGAAAGAAGCTATTGACTACTCATGCTCTCAAACACTAGTAAGGGTAGAAGACTATGTATTAAAATACTAATTTGCTTCTTGTGGATCAAAGTAAGATGCCAACAGAAATCAAGAGGACAATTTTTTTTTATCATGGGAAAGTAAATTCGTCTTCTCTACTGGAAAGGGAGATAACACCACAGGTGTGTTAGTCTTATTAAAAATCTGTATTTATGGACCCAGTCAGGCACTTTTTCCATCCTATTTTCACCAGATCTCCATCAGTCCTCCACAGACGTGGATACAGCTTCAGTTGTTCTGCCTTTTTTTTTTGAGGAAAGTAGGAGAAAAGGGAAGTAAAAAAAGGCACGGTAGCCTCAACACACACCTCATGGCTTCTACAGTAACTATGACATAACTTTGAAATAGCAAAAATAACTTTTGGGGTATCAGGAGTGATTTACATTTTTGACTGTACGTTCAGAGGTTTCCACAAGCTCTTAAATTGCCTGCAGGTTTCCTTCTCTGACAGCAGCCACTCAGACGGGCACTGCAGGCTGCAGAACGAGTGCAAGAGACGGATCATTTTACAAATGGTTTATTTTACAAATGTGGCCTACGCTGCCTCTCACAGCACCGCACTGTGCAAATCCCAACCGGCTCCCCAGCACTGATGCCTTCGGTCTCCTTAGCTTCGCTTGCTCTACGAAGTCAACTTCTCCAGTAAGGCTTCCATACCCTTAGCGTTTTTATTTTGCTTCAACTTCGGGACAAGGCTTTTCAGTCCTTTTTTGACTGCATTTGCCACTTTTTGATCGGTACTGCGGAGAAGACTGCAAGAGACAGGAAAAAAACCCAAAAAGATGTCAAAGATCAGTACACAGGTTAATTTATAGAGACAGCTTCTTTCCATATAAAGTCGTAGTTACKGAGGAAGAAACCAGTTCAGGGCAGAATCTATTGTCTTCTTTTAGATAAAAAAAAAAAAGTAAAACTTTGCACACAGTAGGAGACATCAAGGGAGAATACAATGAACATAATGCCAATTGAAAAGAGTCTTCATAACACTTTGTGGACATAAAATATAACACCTATGGCTACAAAGATGACATATGAGAATAAATAAATCTTTTGAAGAGGGATGTTTTTGGCTAGTTTCTAYACCAATATAAACACACGTCCCTGACAAATTCAAAATCACTGAGCAGATGTCAGATGTAGAAATCAATGTACAACATCATCTGTGACATTTAGGTTGCTGGAAAACTTGATTTATGGAAAGTCACACTGCAGAACATCTGCAGCAAACCCTCTCTGAAGGTTTTGGACACCTTCCATGTTCCAGGACTCAGTTTCTTTCATAAAAGTCAAATTAAAAGTACGAAGGGCACTAAAACCAGAAGGTGCACAGGATGCCAGAACATTCAGCACTCAAGTGCACACACACAAACTGCAAATAACTCATGCACGAGCCTCGCCAGCCAGAAAGCCACGATGCTGGTGGGTATTTCAGAGCTTCAGATCTGCACGTAGGTGACAGGATGGCCTCCAAGAGCCAACAACTCAACAAAAAAGACTGATCAGAGCTTCATGGAGCAGCAGCCCCAGAAATCTCTCGTTTAGGAGAGATCTGAGTTCCTTTATGACAAAAGAAAGACCGGAGTATTTTTTTTTAGATGAAAAGGCTTGAAAAAAAGATCAACATTTATTTTATGTTAAAATATACAGCTATTGACCATACGTGACTAATTTAAATTTAGCACTGTTATGTCATCCGTGTAACCTCAAATGCATGCAGTTAAGCAAGGATGAGATTCTTTCCTATGTGCTACTAAGTTAAACAAGGGTCACACGAAGCTTAAGCTGGTTAAGTTTTGTCTTCTCAGCTACCTGCACAAGAATGATGCCCAAAGAGTCATTAAGAGAGCCTCAAACCCCTAAAGATTTAGATTTAACTTAAAAAAATCCCCCAAATTCCACCACAAAAACAAGACTCTCTTCCTCAACTACTATTTATCTTTTCCTTCACTTGGGTATGTTTCAGTATTGGTGAAAATTCTTGACTAATGTTTTAAAAAAACATGTTCTTACCAGACCTTTCTGCAAAATGCAAAACTCTTGAAATGGTTGGGATGCCTGGATGATACCCAAGCTAACGGTGACGAACTATCAGGCAAGCATTGCACTTGTGAGATTAGTGCACCTTAATATTTTAGCAACTATTAGTCTGCCCTGGTAATCCAAATACCAACTGTCCCCTAATTCATAAATAAACAAACAAAACATTACACTACTAGGTTTTTCTAACATGTAACTATCTTTCTTCCTCCCCAGAAGCCATCAAAACTTACTGGGATTGCAGTCACAATGACAGCAGAACAGTTATTAAARAGCTACACATGGATAAAATCCCTTTTATTTACTCCACAAATTTCGGGTGCTCAAAATAATTTAGTTCATACAGCACACCAGTAACACCACATATAAAATGAATCTCCCCAGCATTACTTCAGCAGGAAAAAATCCAAGGAAAAAATCCAGTATACTATTGGTCTACTAGCCTTTGAAAACAAATCTTTTCAGAACATCTGTGTGTAGGATTAGATAATTTAAAAGCATTAGATGCATTTACTGAACTTCAGAGGCCTGTTACAAAAGGCAGAGAAAAAGCGTTAGCATTTTGTAAGTCAAAAAAATCTTCACTGCCCAATCTGTGGCAGGAAGATGTGGCACAGATCTAGACTACTATGATGTTGTTTCTAACTAACAATCAGAAAAGACTATTCAAAAATACAACTAAATTGACGTTTTGGTAAAACCTTGGTACTTAAGAATCTGTTAATTCATACTGGGAAAAGAGGATGAACATCAAAGTAGAGACTGGCAGAAAAACCAGCAGGGAACCTAAAGTAATTTTATGGAAGGAGAGGTGGTGGGGCCAGCAGTGGAGGAGAGGGAGAGAAGGGGGCAGAAGGGAGAGGCTCTGCTCGTTCTGCAGAAGTATTTTGCCTGTTGAACAGTTTGTTCGTGCTGGCTCCAGGAAGGCGATGCCGACCCAGCGGTTTGGGAACACGGAGCACTGGGGTTTAAGACACAACCTTCAGTCTCTGTGACCCAATACTGACTTTTACAGGAGGAAAATGGCATTAATACAGCTGTTGGCACRTGATAAAACACAATGTGACTGTTAAATTATTATCCAGATTCCTATGGGCTCCCTTTGATCTCGTTAGGTGCATGGATTKCTGCTTCCAAACTGAGAGCTAGTTGGCACATCCTAAACCTTTTCATCGTCCACTCCAAACACACTTTCAAGTATGAGACTTTCTCAGGCTCCACAATTAAGGCATCAAGACTAACAAGTTAAAGGGAAAAAAAAAAAAACTGGATTCGTATATGCTGCCTGCAGTCACACATGCTTCAGAGTTACTTACTTTAATGTGATTATTAGTGTTTTTTTAGGAATTGTCAACGTCTAGAACGCAGGGCAGACACAGTTTCATAAATGGATTTGGTTTTTAATCTTTTAAGATATTCAGACASAGAGCAACATCCTAGTGCTGCATAAACCCAAGTTCAAAGAACAAGCTGAAAATTCATGTGTGCATTTCTGCAGTTACACCAGGTTGGACTGCTGACCTACAGCAGCAAGAAGGACAGGGTCTGGYAGGCACAAAAAGCATATTTTGCTAAAAGAAACTACAACTGACCTTCTCTTGGCTGTTTAGGCAGTTAACAAATTGAACATAGTTGTTGTGAACAATCATGTGTCTTTCTTACCAACAAAGAACTATGGCACCTCGATTCACTTCAGCCCATGACTTCATATTCTCAATGCCAACACGTTCCACTAATGTTCTTCCAAAGCAAACTATACGATGACAGAAGGAGGTAGAAAATAAAATAAAACAGCTCCATTAAACACAGGACCCTGTTAAAAATTCTCTGCAACAGCGATTTGATTAAATAATTTTTAGCCATTGAGTATTTACAAAGCTTTATTCACTCAGAATAATTGATTATTCAATGCACTGTATACTTCTGTAGATGTGAGAGTAATTTCAAACATTGCTTAAAATTAATTAGACAATAGCAGCATTGAGCAGTGTGAAAACTTACTGGTACGAAACAGACATATTTGCTGCTCCTTTTCAAAAGGGTGTCAAGGGCTATTCATGCCGTAAAGAAAGCATTCACAGCAAACAAAGAACTTTGTAAAAATGACACCAAATGAAAAGATAATTATATGCAATTAACTGGTACACACACACACCTCTGCAAAGCAGCGTTAATCTTTTAAGCATTGAGAGGAAAGGCTGAGGGAGCTGGGYCTGTTCAGCCTGGAGAAGAGGAGGCTGAGGGGGGACCTGATCAGTGTCTATAAACACCTCAAGGGAGGCAGTGAGGAGGAGGAGGGGGGCGGCCTCTTTTCAGTGGTGGGCAGCGACAGGACTAGAGGAAACGGCCACAARCTGAGGCACCAAAAGTTCCACAGGAACTTAAGGAAAAAACAATTAACAGTGAGGGTGCCCGAGCCCTGGCACAGGCTGCCCAGGGAGGCTGTGGAGTCTCCTCTGGAGATCTTCCACACCTGCTCRGATRCCGCCCTGTGCCCTGTGCTCTGGGTGWCTCTGCTGGAGCAGGGGGTTGGACTGGATGACCTCYGGAGGTCCCTTCCAACCTTAAAGATGCTGTGAGTCTATGACTCTACCCCTGAAGAAACAGAATTCATGGCTAAATAGATGAAATTGTATTTAATACTTCAGAGCTAAACCTCTGCTGATGCGTGAAAACCGCTAGGTCCCTTATTTTGTTCAGCTCTACTGATACTACAGGGCTCTATTCACTCAGTACCTCTGAAGATCAACTGGATTTGCAGAATCACAGGATGGTTGAGATTGGAAGGGACCTCTAGAGGTCATCTAGGTCAACTCCCTGCTCCAGCAGGGACACCCAGGGCACGGGGCACAGGGCGGCATCCAGGCGGGCTGGGAAGACCTCCAGAGCAGGAGACTCCACAGCCTCCCTGGGCAGCCTGTGCCAGGGCTCGGGCACCCTCACAGGGAAGAAGTTCCTCCTTACATGGAGATGGAGCTGCCTGGGTTTCACCTTGCACCCATTGCCCCTTGTCCTGTCACTGGCCACCACCAAGAAGAGCCTTTTTACATTCTCCCCTMAGGTATTCATATACATGTCTTGATAACCATTAAACTAATGATGCATTCAAAAGGGGAGACTGAGGCAGTTCCCAGTTGGATCTGAAGATCCAACTAGCTCTAACAGCTCGTGTACTATGCACACTTACCTGGAAGCAAACACCACACAAAATTCTCAGCACCCAAACAGACTACTTTTCACTGTAACTTTAGCATACAATTCCATAAAAACCAAACGCCAGCAATTCTGTAAGCAACCTTGCAATAAAAATGAAGAAACTAAAAGGGAATAGTTTTGTTTAAAATAAGAATTGTGAACTGTTGGCAGAAAACAAACCCGGACAACTATCCTCTTATTTAAGCTATTCTGTGAAAGACTCAGAGACAGAGCTTCATTCTTTTGATATTTTTGACAAAAAGAATACTTTTGCCACTTCTGTTTAAAAATGGATAATTAAATTATTCTTTCAAAAGTACTTGAGAGTTAATGTAGATTTAAAGGAGGAGATATCTGAACATATCAATGAAAAAAGCATTTAATATTATAATTTCATAAAGAATTTCCTCCCACACCCTGAAGCTCCCCCATTACTAGGCTGCTCTTCTCTTCCTCCTTTTTTTTTTTTTTTAAAAAAAAAAAGTCCAAAAAAATATCCCCATTACAATAACGTGAAAAAATTCTAGACATTTAAGAGTCTTCACACAAGATTTGACAAAAAGAATACTTTTGCCACTTCTGTTTAAAAATGGATAATTAAATTATTCTTTCAAAAGTACTTGAGAGTTAATGTAGATTTAAAGGANTTTTTTTTTTTTTTAAAAAAAAAGGTTCAAAAAATAATCTCCATTACAATAACGTGAAAAAATTCTAGACATTTAAGAGTCTTCACACAAGATTTTACAATTACATAACAAAAGAGAAAAAAAAAAAGAGAGATGAGAACATCTATGACCAATCTCTGCCTTTTGGGATATAAAATAGTAAAGATGTTCTATTTTTGTGAGCTTTTACAAGTTATAAAGCAGTAACCCAGCAGCACCAACGAAAATGGTATAGCAAGTAAAATTCTGGTCTTCACCTTTGCTATTCCCATACACTGCTGAATAGTTTTGTGAGGCTATCAGGACATTTTAAAGCACAGAAATAACACTGCAATGAAAACTCTGAGAAAAAAAATACCAATATCCACCACGTAGAAAAAGCAGTCTTCTCTTTGCCCTTTGTTCATGTAATTCATGACAGCCAAAAGATAAAAGCATTCATCTTAGASAACCTCTAACATCTTCCACGTATTAACCTGTTTTTAAAAATAAACTATGGATCTTATTTTAAGATTAGGTTGTTACTTATTCTGAATTTATAATTTGATCAAAGAAAGTCGAATTTTGAACATACCTTCTTTTCCAGTCTCTTTCATTTTTTCATCTTGCTCAATTAACCACTTCAAAACTAGATGGCCTGCTGGATGCTCCGCAATGTGAAGCTTAAAGGTGGGGGGGGAAGGAAAAAAAGGAAAAGATAAAGTTATTAAATGATTTTCAAAATGCATTTTCTCATTTTCCTCTCTAACCATAAATGTTACTGCTTGCTTTATCCAGCTTTCTCTCTGCCATCAGCCCACATATGACTCTAATTCAGCTAGTCATTATCTATGACCAAACAGCAGTAAGTCAGAACGTAATACAAATACTCAGAATAACCAGTTGCATTTTCTTTTTTATCATCCTCCTTGTAGTATATTTAACGGACTAATACAAGCTGGGGCTGCCACTCCATATTAACTAACATTTTATCCACAACAGGTTATACTGAGTAGTAGTATGAAAATCAAATTATCAAAATTTGGAAGACATTACCTTTAGTCTATACAACATTTTTCTTTTTCAAATTTACAATGGCAAARTTGACTGAAGTTTAACTCAACAAAATAGGGAAGGGTTTCCCAAGCACATTTTGAAGAAGATACAAAACACACAGTTAATACCTAGGAACCTAGTTATAGGAACCTATAGCTACCTATAAAACCTTTCATTCCCAGTGTAAACATTTAAGTGGTATTACAAAAATTCTTGTTTGATTTGATTTCTTAGTGACAATATTAAAACAGAAATTGCAATATGAYTGCCAGCTGTTTTTCCACAAAACATTTCAGTTAGTTCTGGAAGATTCAAGAAGTATAAGAAGATTGAAGAAGGTTTCCAAATCGTATGAAACACTGACTTCAAGCCTCCACCACTGCAGATACAAAACCAATAAACTACAAATGGAAAACGTCAGAAAACAAAAGAGGCTGCTTCTAATGTAAAATCACAGTCAAGAAAGTACAATAGCCTCCTAAAGGACAAAAAATAGCAAATCTCATTTTACTAATATATACAAATTCATTGCAAGATCCCAACATTTTGCCYTGCCACATTACCTGCCCATCACGGCCACCTGGAACCAGCTCTTCTGATGCCAAGTTGGCAATGGCATCCAGTGCAGGCTGTATGTCTCCAAGGGCTGTTCCCAAGATGTCAGCAACCAGGACAAAGGTGCTTTTGTCCATCACGACTTCCCGAGTGTGTTCCTGCAAATACTCCAGCAACGGGGAGGAGATGGCTTCCAGGAGCTCACGGCGGCGCACGTCTGCGTTCTTCTTGCTGATGGAGAAAGACACATGTTACTGCTTGCAGCTTGCTCTGCATGCCCACCAGGAAGGTCCAGGGAGCTCTATGCAACTGAAAGGTCAATGCGACAGGTCAATCACCCTCTCTATTCTGCACACTAACAAACAACGTGCTTTAAGGACAAGTGGAATAGGGAATTAAAACATCTGAATGGTGCTATGTCTTTTGTTTAAAGTTGATTGGCAGTAAACCTGACATATTTAGCTTTTAATTTACAATGGTAATTCAGCCTGTTTATTTTCTAGTTATTATATCTATTATACCTAGTTAATATCTATTAAGTACTGGGAGATATTGCTGAAAGTGCTCACTACCTTCCTGAACCATTTATCTCCAAAGGCTGGTAAGCATCACTGCTAGCATCAGAAACTGAATTAAAAAAGTAATTTTTCCTTTTTTTTCAGCTAGATTTCAAAGGTAATTTTATGCAACTCAGGACACGAATAATATATGTTAAATTTTCCTCCTATGACAAAAATGGCTTCAACCAATTGGTTATACTAGTTTTTATGAGGAAAGCATCCTTGTAAAGCATCCTTGTTCATCCCTTTACAATTCAGAAATATTATCACACATTGAATAAATTTTAAAAAAAGAGCATAACATGCACAGATAGTAGCTACTGAAGTCACCTAAAAACTGTTTATCACTTCTATTTGAAGACTTATATTTGTTTTGCCTTTTTATTTAAACTCTAACAATGCAGCCCTTGTATTTCACTTACCTATGGGCATTTCCATCTCCTTGCTGCAGAAGAGTGATGATTTCTGGCACAAAATGTGCAGGGTCTCTAGGACTTAACAAGTACAACAAGACCTTCTTTCCATGTTTGTTGTTTACTATACTTGACAAAGAAGCATTTATTTCCTGTGAAAGGAAAACAAACAACAAAACATTAATGAACAGATCTGCACCACTGATATGGTAATACTGAAATTCAGAGCTTAAGAAAGTAAAGCTATATASTCAGAATAAGACTACTTGCTTTCTGAAAGAATTCCCAAGTTTTAAACAGAATAAAAGCTGGCAGAAGCGAACTAAATAAAAAAGAAGTATTGTTAAAAATGTGTTTATGATATGCATCAACATAGTGATTAGAAGCTACTGTAAAAGTAGAGCTTTTATTCACTGATACATGTGAGTACTAAGAACCAAACATATCTGCTATGTCAGATGTAGTGCAATCAAACTTAGTAAAAGTCAAAAATGAAATAAAGACAAACCAAGGATCATTTATTACAGTAATGAAGAATCATGAGTCTCAAACAACCATACATACTTAATGGGACAACAGCCCAGATAACAGCAAGGYGTCGATCCTAAATCCAGCACAAAATTCAAGACTAATCACTAAGTTTCAGCAACAGAGTAAACATGGCTTCAGCACTTCTAATACATTGTACGACCCACTGTCACTGAGAAATCTTTTTTCAACCATAAATAACAGCTAGTGAAAGATAAAAGGAACAATTTAAGTCACATCAGCCTTCACCAACTTGCAGTTCAGTTTGTTGGTTTTGAGGGAAAGAGAAATATAAAGGTGACTGCAAGCTGGCAGGAAACGGTGAAGATGCCTTTCTTATTTCATAAAGGTGGGTTAAAGCCAGGTGAAAATGGGGTTTTGGTGGATGGAGATGAACCCTGACTTAACAGGCAACATAACCTAGTGCGTCTATGAATTAAGAAGATATAACTGTAACCTTCACATTCCAGGCATAAAAATAATCTTTCTGATAAGAAAGGAGAAAAAGACACATTAACTCTTATTTTGGGGATATACATCCAGATTCTGCAGTTATGTGAAGTTTATTCACCAGTTAGATGCCTGACACAGTGTTGAAATATTTCTGAACTGGAAGTAATGAAAAGAAACATTCAATTTAGTACAATTAAAAACAGAATTCATCTGCACTTCAAAATCAACCTATGAAGCAGACATTTTACATAACAGGTAAATTTTTGTTTTTATTTGTTTAAATCCTTCAAAATTCCTCCTCTCACCACGTTCCATGTCATTAATTCTGAACAGAATTTAGGCATGGTCAGTGTCCCAACTATGAGAAAATATTAATGGGAGCTTAATAGYATAGTTATGGGCTACATTACTATGAGCTCTCTCATAGCAGCATCTYGGTAGCATCTTTCTAGCATTGTGTGACCTAAAGAATTATCACAAAGTTGCTCTTTCACTCAACTCTTCCTAAATCCCAATAGATGCCTAACCAACCAACGTGCAATTGTAACCATATATGCTTCTGGAAATAGCTTCCAGGATTATTTGGCTCCATCACCTCCTCTGGGATCAAGGAGATGACTCCATCTTATCACTAGCTATTAGTTCTCCACTTGAGTCTTCTGATCTCATCTGATAACTTTATTTTCCCCTGACATTCTTTCCTTGGGCTCATGTAAACCCAGATGGGCTAACACTGTACGTGTGAAGGCTACTCCTTCCCATTTTCATTTTCTTCTCTGTCTAGACTAATGCAGTAACATGGCCAAAAAGTAAACACTCTGTTACCCTGGAACATCAGGAGTTCTCAGATCGTGGAAAACCACCAATGACTCAAATATTATACAGCATGCTGGAAGCCCCAAATAAACACCACTGAAGCACTGTATGTCAAGTCCAAATAGCACAGGGCTGTGATAGAGTACAGAAATGCATCTTGTACGAGAACAGCCCAGACCTGTCAGGACCTGCTTTTTTGGAACTTGCCCAGAAGTTGCTACACTGCTCAGCTGATTCTAGAAACAAATAAAAAAAGTGACCACTGCTAATATGTCTAAGAAACACAAAATACCTAAACGGAGAGATGTTTTCTGTTCTCCAAATCAYCAGAGAAGGAAAATACCTGACTGAATTTCCAGGGTAGGGCAGGCAAAAATCAAATTCCCCCATACAAAGTTGCTCTAAAAGCTCACATTTTTGAGAACAAAGTGACCTCTTTCTCTTCATGTTTCCTCCCACTTGCAGACTACTGCCTTGTCTTTATCTCCATTACTACTGCTTATCAGTGACAGAAGTTGTAAGCACTTTACAACTCGTATGTCTATACAATAACTGTGCTTCAAGAAAACGGACTATACCAACAGTCTCTTGCATCAGCACAAAAACAGTATTACAGTAATCTACAGATTAAAGGATCTTAAAAATAAAATTTGCATTAAAACGAGATCTAAGTGTAAACAGTTAATGAAACCCTGTATCATTAAGTTCATTTCAAGGGGAGCATACCCAGACTAGCTCATACGATCCACCTTCTTCCATTCMTCCAGGAAAATACCATTTAGGTCCAGCAAAATAACTACAGAGTTTTCATGTTTCAGACATTAGAAATTTGAAAGCCCAGATTAAAAATACTAGGTGAATTTTGTGTCAGCTGCCATTTAGTTATCAACACACTAGAGTAAAACRTTCAAGCTTTGCTAATTTGAGCTAAATTGTTTCAGCTCCCCATCAAAAGTCTCCTGAGTATTTAATCCTGTTTCAAGTCAGGCTGTTCAGGTATGCTCTATTCAGTTATGCTAAGATGCCCTGTCCCTCTAAGGTCCATAGCTTATCTTAAAGTATCACTTTCATGATTTCCTCTTACTTTTCTAAAGTAAAAGCTAAATGTGATAAACAGCTTTCTTTGGCACACTAGGCTTGCACAATAAGGATGGTTACCTATGGTTAGGGCTAAAATGATAAATGGGTAAGATAACATCAGCATTCTGAAGTTTTCCATAGTTCTAGTCTCCTTGAAAAACTAGCAGAGCTTGAACTTTTAGGAGAAAGACATTCTACTTTCTGRAGATTCCAGTCATTTACTAGCACGAATACAGGTAGACATGCACAGAACGGGTAATTTTCAGTAAGTGCTTTCTAGTTTAAAAATTAAATAAAGAGAACAGCCAACAGTGCTGAGATCACCCGTAAGACAGTAGAACCCTCTAAAATTACACGACTCAAGCAATTTTTCCTGTACTAAGAAAAAGCAGCTTAAGATACAAGCATTTATATAAGCAAAAATACAATGAAACAGAAAAGGTGAAAAAGACAGAATTTGGTGAGGAAAAAAATGSATTCCAATTTTCACCCTTCCATACACTTGCCAAACACAGTGGCAGTATTTACCATAATACTTTGAGGTAAAATTAAATTACTTACAGATATGATTAACTGTTTCACAAGTTTAGTATCATCAATGCAATCAAACGCTGCCAGCAAAACCAAATGAGAGAATTCACCCTGCAAAAGSAAGACCGTAGAAAGGTTCACAGACATTCAGCCAAATTTTACGTATATACTAATTAATTTAGCAACAGTAACAATTTGTCTAAAATGTGACACAAGCCTTAACCAAATTTTGTTAGCTCTCAAATTTTGTTAGTTTTTTTTACAACAAAAGTAGATGAATTTGCTTTGCCATTTTAAATTCATAAATTGCTTTGTTGTATGTAAGCTACCAATATAACCCCACTGTGCAATCACCATTTTGATTTAAGAACCTGTCTTACTGGAATAGTATGTATAGGTTACTATTTCTATGGTGGCTTTGTCAACACTGAGATAAATACTTGCTGTATTTTCAGGAAGCACATCTATAGTATATTATAATCTAAAGATTTTAAAACCAAACCCACCTTTAAGGATTTTAAAACCAAACCCACCTTTAGGTCAGTGAGACTCTTTATATAAAGTTAGGTCAGACATTAACTAGCTCCAATACGGATTTAGCTATTCATCCCCTGCCTATATGACAGCAATGCATATATTCTACATTTTTATTGTTTAAAAGTTTAAGAAATTTTACACTTAAAAAAAACCAGCAAATAACACATTCTGGTAAAATTAAGGGAAATGTTATTACAATCATGCTAAGTATTACTAAATATAGCTATACAATATTGAAGTTCAAAAAAATTAGACTAACAAGGAGTTAACCAAGGAGTAAGATGAAAACTTAAAATGAAGATGTACTCTTAAGCTATCATAATAAACTCTTTCTGCCTTAAACAGCAAATAACTTTCCCATTAATTAGTTGAAGAAAAAATTAGAACTGAAGAAAATAATTGGGCAATATCATTACTTACTACAACAACAAGCAGTTAGAAAACAGGCATAAATACAAAGCAAGAATTAAAGCTATTTCTTCCAAAATATTTTAGCTACTTTGCTGCACAGTGTTACTGCATGCAGCCTTTACAATGAAGACTGTAAGCATTCAAAAAAAATTATTTGATATAATCTATTATACTACCACTAGTTTAAACCTAGCTTTATTTTTTATAGCATCAGAATACATTCAAATTAAGTCTCTTAAGTATCCCATTAGTGCTGTTACAGAGAATAAAATGCTATTGAGCACTCACTGTTGCTATTTTTTCAACATATGTCTTCATGGTTTTCACAATGACTTTTCTGTCCTATTCAAAAGGAAAAGAGAAACTTTAGTGAGTATGTAACACTGACTTCCAAAAACTAAAATATTACTTAAAGTAACAAAAAATATGACCTTGTTTCCTAAACCACATACTCTGACTAAAGTTTAAATCTCCAACACTAGAGAAGCCTTTGTTTCCCATGCAAAGAGTCACACCTAAATTAGGAGGAAAGCCTCAGTCCCAGAAGGAATTTGAGAAGCACTCAGAATTCCAGTACAGAACTGAAACACCTGCAAAAATGTTGATTAAAATCTTCACATAAAATATACCTAAGATATTTCAGGAGATGGGATCAGCAATTCTTGAAGAAACCCTAAAATATACTTCTTAAAAAAGAAATTAAAAAGTTTTGACATTTCAAGGCCAAATGTAAATCCTCGCTATGACTTCTACAGTGTCTCTCTCCCTACTGCCAATTTGACTTACATTAAGAAAYCTACAAAAATGAAGAAGGTTTAATGATAGCTATAAGAACTCTGCTAAAAGCAAAGTGAGACGCTTTCAGTATAAARGATGTCATGCAAGCACTGAACCACAAAAATCTACTGCTTACATTTGGCAATAGATGAAGTATATCCACTTTTTAAGTTAGYTCTGAAAAACTTAACGGCATCAGATATCCGTACTGACAGAAGGAGCCTTGTGAGCAATTAAGATTCATGTAGTCTCAAATGTGACTTATTAAACAGTGGTGGGTAGACAAAAAGCAAACAATACCTTGGGAGTACCATGCCATAAACAGTGCATAGCTACTCGTGCTCCATCATGAGTGTGTGCCAGGTAGATGACAGCTTCTCTGATGGCTTCTATCATTTCCTGAGGAAGAAGAGATTATATAATGTAAGGAATTTCTTTGCAGAGGAGAAGGAGGAGCTGCAAGCATGAAAAGAATTTATTCTCCTCATACGAAAAGCAGTGAGAATTTATTCTCCTCATAGCAAGAAGTGAGACTTATTCCCTCTCTCCCCCTTGTTTTGAGTGGAATTCAGGGGCATTTTTATACAACGGGCTATAGAAAAAACACATGCAAGAATCAAAAATTAAGACAAGATCTACATTTCGCTAAGAAAAGGCCACTTGTTAACAGCAATAAAGAGGAGCTGAAGTTCACACTAGCAGAAATAGGAAAGAGACAGCAAGCCCAGAAGGGTCTACCTTATTGTCTAAGTCTGAGGTGGATGGTGCATAGAGCTGGGACCAGAACGAGGCAGACACACACCAGTTCCATCTGCTGTAAACCCCTGGGATACCAGCTTAGGAAYATCATTTTCCTTAGATAAATTTAATGTTTTGCAGGACTGAATTGAGAAAACTTATAACTGATGATTGTTTCAGGAGAAGGAAGAAAACAAAGCTTAAGGCTGCTGAGGAAAGGGACCAATCTGATGATCCTTTGGTCAAAGGGCTTTTGGGCAATGGGTAGAAGACACTGAGAAATATGCTGGAAAATTAAACTACTGGAAGCAATGTCCTTTGCTTTACATACATACCATTTTCCAGCTACGGAGAAGGATCATTTATCAAATACACAGTAAACACTGAAGTCATTGCATCAGAAATTAAAAAWCGAACACACACAAACTAAAAGAAACCATCCCAGTCATCACACAATCACTTGGCTTTTCACTGCTTCAATCACGTTGCTTTAATGTGAAAATTCACTGTAACTCTGTATAACAGCATATCATTTATCTGGAGTCACTAAATATATTAAAAAAAAAAAAGAATTAAAAAAAAGAGAAAAGCACTTACAGATCTTTGCTTTGGAAGAGCATGAGTGAAAAAGTCCAGAAACACCTTATGTACCAGTGAGTGTTTTATCACAGCCTCTCTATATTTTGGGAAGAGAAAGAAAAGGAAAAAATAAAAATATAGCAATAATTTCAACATAAATTGACATTGTTTTCTATTTTTTAAAAAATCTGTCACAGATACCACAATATGGTATGTAGTTATTGTTCTAAACAAGTCTGAAAAGCCACACACTTTCTCCCCTGAAAGTCAAGTCAGCACAGAAGATTCACTCGATGTACTGAGAAGAACGAAGAGTCATTCTGGAGGAGATGACCAGTATTTAAAATATGGGTAAAATTTACCAAATTCATCACCAAAAGCGATAAATTCTAAAGCCTAGCACGTTATTTTCTCCCAAAAGAACACCGGGAAAGATTACCTACAGATGCATTACAAAAGAATAGCATACTGCTGGAGTTCTAGAAAAAAAGTTTTCACTGATTTCACAACAGTAAAATATTCAGGATGTTTTGGAAAGAATCGTTAGTTAGTCATTATATAATGCTGTAATTTTACATCTTAAAAGAAATACATAACAGCACAGACTAGGAAAACACACATACTTACTTTTGTGCCATTGGTGTAAGAATCTGTTTCATTTCATCCAGAATGGCCTCTCTCTTCTCAGGCTGAGCTTCTAACACTTTATCCAGTGTTGGGTCAACTGGTGTCTAAATGAGTGCCCAAATAGAGGTTTATTGATTTCCACTAATCATCAGATCAGGGTATCAGATCATACAGCAAAAAAAGTACATCAGCATCTGTGTATATATAACAAGTTTCTAAAGTTTCAATTAATTGAGATTAACTTCCACTAAGTCTTAATCTTCTCTCAGCACGGACAACTACTTCAGACTAGGCAGTGTGATAAAGGCAACTATGTGAAAAGGAATTTTATCAGGAGACACAGTAGGTAGAACAGGCAACATACAGCTAACATAATACTTTAGGGTACTAAAACACCTTAGACTAAAAAAGTGCTAAAACATCACCTTATAAACCTGGAAAGTGTTTCCATACAGCTCTTCTGTCAGCATATTCCTTTGCTCCAAAATGGCTTTGTCATTATATGCATACTCCACTACAGCAGAGGCTTCAGCATGACGGAGCATTTTTCTCACATGGCCTTTAAAACTTTTCATTATTTCTGCAACTTGTTGTTTTGACCTTTTTCATAGAAAGGATAGATAGCAGCAGTTAAAACATCATGAAGGAACTGATTTCTGCAAACATATTTAGGTGATCCAATAGTAATATAATGATACAGGAAATACAGGCCTCATGGCTGTATCAGCCTCATGGCATTTATGAGAAAATGGTGAAAAGGTCAGCATTCTAGAGAAGGCATGAGGGATTATATGAGTCATTTTCAGGAAAAGAAGAGAAACTCCCTGAAAAAATCACAATAAAGCCTGCACCTAATATTATGACAGCAAGGATAACACTGCTATTAGCTTAATCCCTAATTCCAATGCAAAGATTATCAATCTGCATTACTTCAAGGTCAGTAACTGCAAGGTAAGTCACACAAAACACAAGCACCATACAGACTTGCAAAAGGTATAATAGTAGATTCCCTCTGTACACAGAAGTGTCTTAAGATTAGTTCATTTGGGTAAAATGCTGCCATGGTATGGAGATGGCTGGAGAAGCAAAGAAGAAAGATTAAGGTGGTGAGTCTGTGTAGTTTTTCCATAAGCAGGGCAAATATAATTGAAGGAAGATAGAAGAAAGAAGAAATATCAAATAGCTAGAAGGCAGACCTGGCAAGGACAAACCTCTGCTTCTGCACTACAAAGTACAGAAGCCAAATTTAGAAAGCAATGGGTAAATTCTGTAGAAGAAAGGATGCTTTTCAGAACACTAAGGCTACAAGAGAAGCCTTTTACAAACCTATTTCTATTTTTCAGGCAGAGGCCAACTTTGAGCATGTTTTTGTGCATCTTCAGTATGTTAGTCATTACTGCGCTCAGCTTCAGGATTACTTTTTGCAACAGAAAAATTGCTGCTACCAATATCATCTAGTCTCCTGCTTTATTACTACTAAAGAGACGTATTTTTCATTAATAATCAATGCATTACAGATTAAGAGAAACATTTACACCAACAATAGGGCAGTGTAAGAGAGACTTAAGGAAATTCACTTTTTCACACTTACCCATACATAAGAAACTTCTTCACGATATTTCTAGAATATTTTGACTTACTCAACTCTACAAGGCTATCTAGAGGAGGGGAAAAAGAGTTCAGTTAGCTTTTGTTTTTCTTAATATCGTATCTACAAAAATGAATTATATAAATAATATATAGTAAATAATAATTATATAAATAATGCTTGATAGCTGGCTAGTTAATTTAAATGAAAAATTAAAACTGCTCAGATAAAAAAAAAGTGAATTTATCACTTTTCTTAACATACACCAGCACAGTAAAGAAGGTTGCAAATATAGGGCAAATAGGAAGAAGCACCTTTTAGCTCTTCAAATGTCTCCTGCCTTTGCTCGTTGTTACCATACTGGATAAAGCACTGGATTACTCTAGTTGAATCATGTGCAAACGCCAACTGCAAGACATAAATATTTTATTTATACTCTACCTTTCATTTGACATCAATACAAATATGGAGCATAATGCATTTGATCTTCGGCACAGTCTTCTGCCACATATAGCATGTAATACCAATTACAACAGTCGTTAATTGCTTAAAACATTCATTTTACTGTCATAAAAGTAATCTAACAACAAAATACAAATAATACATGCAGTTATTGGCAATGAAGGGCAACTGTAAAACGCCTCAGATATTTACTAATGACAAATAAATAAATGGGAAATGGTTCATTTGCTCTGGAATTTCAGAGCAGAAGTACATTCCACTTGGGCATAAGAAAGCAAGAATCCCTTCAGAGCCCAATGACATAAATTTTACTGCAAACTTAAACACTTCAAGAGATAAGGAGAAAGACTACTTCGCACATTAAGTGTCAGGACACTTCAATATTCCTATAAGGAGCTTTTGTGAACTCATGTAGTCATTTACTATATATCTTTTCCTTACACTTTTAATTTTTCCCTGAAGTAGCTTTTGTAGTTCATTCATTAGCTTTTCTCGCTGTGCCTTATCACATTTCTTCCTAAAATGAAAAAACAGGAGAATCTTAATTGAGAAATTAGCTTTTTGGATAGTATGATTCAGTTACATCGACAAATTAAAAAGTAAGAACATAAAAACTAATAAGGAAGTAGCTYCTGTTAATTTACTAAAGCTATGGCTAGGTGTAACTAAGCAGGTTTCAGTTCCTATAAACTGAATCAGTTTTCCAATTTATAATAATCTTCTAAAGTAACAATGGCACTAGAGAGAAGAAGAAGGAAAAAAAAAAGATATTTCAATTCCACAGGCAAAGTTACTGATGTGACCAAGTCACTGAAGATCTATAAACATTACATAGCCAAAACTGAGCAGCAGAGACACCTGTAACATCACAAAATAAACCTTTTTTTTTGACTTGAGGTCCTAGCCCTAGAGTTTCATTTGTCCAGACCGAAAATTTAAGCCCTCACTAAAAAAACAAACAAACAAACAAATAAAACAAAGCAAAATGCAGTAATCAAACTGTCAACAAGTGATTCACAATTCCAAGAGAAAACAAGATTCAAGAGCTCTCTTTTTTTTAAAATCAGCTTGCAATTTAAACATTTCTGCAGAAAAGTGGTATCAATACAGATATCAGAGAAAAAGTGATTTCTAGAAGTATTGGTCACTACACTCTATTTCAGTCGTCTACAGAAATCACTCATCCATGGTGTTCCATCATGGAAATACATAAACGGAGATAAGAGTAGCAAAAATGTCTCTGCTTCCACAAAACTTATGACTGTAAGCCAAGCTAACTGATTGAAAGAAAAGAACTATTATTACCTTCTCACGTTTTCCCATATTTGCTTTGATTTCACAATTATGTCATAGTTGCTTCTGTCATTAAGTTGTCTACTTTGCTTTAATTCCTTCCTTTTCTTTTTGAATTCATCCCATTTAGGTTTCTTAGAATCTGGTCCTGAAAATAAAAATAAACTTTTCCTATTGTAAAAAAAAAAAAAAAAAAAGTACAAGGAAATCCTACACTGGTGTAATCTGCAGTCGTTCTGTGACTTAAACTGTTCAGGCTCTTTGCCTACAACTCTTCATGTAGCTAATAGGAGTGCAGAAACACCAGCAGATATGCTAAACTGGCAAGCTCCACTTCCTGAAAACTGGATGCAGCAGGCCAACATGCAGTTTTCCTCAACACTCTATCAAAGGACACATCTCAATTAATCATGACCTTAAATATCTACCCAGGATGCATTTGCTACTCAGTGGCTGTGCAGCCTGAGGTGATTTTCCCTACTTTTTCCCTTTGTTTTGCTCACTTACGTCATTTTCCTTGCTCAAGAGTGCCCTGATTTAAAGATACAAAGCTGAAATCTCAAAGGTAACAAACTAAGACTACTGTAGTGCCTCATTTTTAGGTCTCCTATAATGTCAAGACAAGGATTAAAAAGTAATGGTAATAACAGTTTAAAACACACAGGACACAAACATTCTGTGCCTCTGATCTCGCTATTTACCTTTCATCTTTTCAGCAAMTGTAACAGAAAAATTAAACACTTAATGAGATAAAAAGAATGACAATAAAGAGCACAATTTGCAATCTACTGCCCTGCAACAACAGACTACACACACAATTCACTGTTTCATTCAATGCCTTTCCCATCAGTGATTCCCTTTGCCAAGTTCATCACTTTAGCTCATTCACAGCTACAACCTCATAATACAAATACGTCGCTAACAATCATCCCATGCTTCTTTCTTATGTAAAGTCTTGTATGCTAGGCCTTGCATGCCTTTCTTTTTTACTGAATTACATATTTTCAGTAGGAGACTTCCCACTGCTTCGCAAGCTTAAGACGAATTTATACAAAGTATCTTTAGTGACGAGACTAGTCATCAGACTAGACTATCGACTAGACTATCACTAGACTAGTAGCTAGTCTATTACTATCCTCTAGTCACTAGTCACTACTATCTTACAGTATCCAAATAAAAAACAGTAACACAATTTGTTTTGAGGGCTGCACTGTTGTACAACCCATGGCACCTTTCACTTATACACAATTAACCCTCTCCCTTTTTTCTTTTTAAAAGGCAGCTTAATATAAATTTCGAGACAACTAACACTTTTCAAACAAAATCATTCTTAAAGAACAGATATATTAAAATAACTGAGCTCTTCCCCTATCTTTCCAAGCAAATAACACGTATAAGAATTCAGAAACCTCCACAATAATCTTTTTTTCTTTTTATGCTGTTTATACTCACGCCCCCTCAGTGAACTTAGTTTCACTGCAAAAAAGGAACCATAGCTACCACGTTCATGACATTATACTAAGACTATCAGTAAGACTAAATATATAAGCAGGAAAGAGAATAAGAGAAAGTCCTAGATGACTAGTATGTTTACCAGARTATGGTGTCCTTAAGAATCCAGAATTAAAAATCCACTCACCTTTCTCTTCGCCATCCCGGAGTTTTCTCTTCTTTGCAGATTTTTCTGGCTGTTGCTTATTCTTGAATTTTTTGACACYAGCTTTTCCAGGCTTTAAATTTCCTTTCACAAATTTCTTGGAAACGGATTTAGGTTTTCCCACCTCATCTCCCTTGCTATGAAATTTCTTTGGAGGACCAGAATCTAGTCATCAACAAACAGAGGACGTTATCCCAGAACCAAAGTGCCTACAATACACTATTTTTAATCACAACTACAACATAGACTACTACACAAAATACATCCCCAGCAATTCTTCCAGGCAGAAGYGTAATGGCATACAATAGTAATTCTAAATCAAGAGTGCCAGGTTATTCTTGGTCCTGTTTCTTGTGGTCATCACTGTTTTGAAATCTCGAGTTTCAGGCGGAACAGGGCACGTGCTGAATGACGTTTCCTCAGTGCTACACACACAACTTCTCCCATCCCACTCCAGCTCTCAAACCAACCTCCYCTGCTAAGCCGGAAAGGCAAAAACTAGAAAAAAGAAGTCGGTTTCCAACTTCACTCTAAACCAGTACTTTATTTCAACCAGATGGAGCTGAACGGTGGCAAACTCATCTACTTCCAAATAATTTACTTTTATTTTCTGGCCGGTTCCTGTTAGTCAGCACAGCTTTAAGCACGGGACAGGAAACACAAGTTCCATCGTTTTCTGTACCACACCAGCCCCTCGAACAGCTCACCCCCACCAAGGAAACTCTGCCTCCTCACCATTATCTTTCTTAAATTTCCTCTTCCCAGGCGGTGCCTTCCCACGAGGGGCTTTTCCCCGCTTGCCGACAAACTTCTTTTTACTTTGGGCTTCCATGGCGACAGCGCTGCCGAAATCAAATTCAAACAACAACAAAAAAAAGAGAAACTTCTGTGCTTCGTGGGTGATAAATCACAGCCCAACAGGCACCGAAACAGCGCCCGGCTCCCCGGAAACCAGGGACCGGGGCCGCCGCAGCTCGGGGGGTCACACCGACGGGATGCCCCGTGACAGCGGAGCCCAAACGACCGTTAGAAACGACCGTTAGAAACGACCGTTGGCCGCGACCGTTGGCCGCGAGGTCCCCTCCCCCCGCCCCCCTTCCCTGCGCCGCCGCTCACCCCACACGTGCTGCCGCCCGTCCGCGCTTTACGGCACCCGCCACCAGGACGCTGCCATTGGCCGCGGCCCGCCCGCCACGCGACACTGCCGTAAAGCGCCGCGCGGGGACGGCGGGTGACGCGCCGGGCGCCGCCGCCAATCGGCGGGCGCCGCGGGAGGGGGCGGGCGCGGCGCGGGCGTTGCTAGGAGACGCCAGCGGCCCCAACGGCTCTAACGGCCCCAACGGCTCTAACGGCGTCAACGGCTCCGCGCGGCCGTTACTCGGAGCGGCCGCGCTGTGACGAGGCCGCCTTTAGCTGGGCAGAGGCCCTGGGGGACACGAGACCTCGCTGTCAACCCCCCAAAATGCCCTTTTTTAAATTTATTTMTTTATTTAATCGCTTAGGAAGAAGTCTTGAAAGGAGCAGGGAGCTGGTAGGAAGCAGCCCCGTCTTCTGACTGKTATTCTGCGCGTTTCTGTACGTGTTTTAGTATCTGAAATGATTTCTGATTTCAGCATCTATTCCTTTCTCGCCTGCTGGCGCTTTCTGACCTGCGACGAGCTTTTTGAGCCGAGCTTGGTCCACGCGCAGCGTAGGCAGAGTCCTGGCTTAGACATGAGGTAGCAGTAGCGAACGAAACAACAGTCCTGCTGCGGAACAGCAGGTGGAGTGGTGACTTCAGGGTGATGCGAATGCGCTCGGTTGTGTGAAATGGTCAGTGTCACCTGTTCCCTCATGTTCAGCTCTTCTGGGAAGCCGTCATTTCCAAATGCAATTGCTGCACCTAAATGTTCCTGTTAACTACACTCRTTTCAGTAGCTGTGGAAGGAAGCCAGACTTCAAGCACTTCTATAGTACTGCCTGAAATATATTTGACTAAGGAAGTGATACAGAAAGAAATAATTTCAGTTAAGTACTGTTGTGATAGTATTTTTTTATTATTATTCCTTTTATGAGAAGCACTCAGTAGTAAACTGCAAAATAGAACAGTCAGAATCAGGACATTTAACTTTTTTCCACTCCTTGAAACATTAATACAACATTTGTCATAATTGCATCAAAAGTATGTGCTTTAAAGAGGAGAGAGGATCTTGAAGTTTAGTTTAAATCAAGGCTATAATTTCATAGACCTCCGCACTCCCAGACCAAATGTATTGCAGCATTTCTTGGAACAATTCCTTTACATATTTGAGTTGTCTTTTCTTCACCTTTAGATATGTTTTTTTTCTTCAAAGATTTATTTCAAGAAGATAACAATTGGAAAATATATTGCTATCTTCAGCTTATTTGCTATAATTTGTTCAATATGAGTATCTCCCAGAGGGAAATAAGTGGAAATTCCAAATGTTAACCAGAGATTTCAACTGAGTCAACTTACTAGTTTTATCATTTATCCTTAAAAAAAAATATAGATTAAAAATAGTTAAAACATGCTTTAGTTGTAGAAGATAATGTTTYGAGGAGCTCAGGGTTCCAGGGTGTTTCTGTGTGTGCTGAAAGTTCTCTTACAGCACAGATGTTTTAACGTCTCTTTTTATTTCTGTTTTCATCTTTTTCTGGATACTGTTTTAATTCCATGGAGATAAAAATGATGAAAAGCCAAGAGATTAAAATTGAGACAAGTGTCATTTGCAACAAGATACGGAGAAATTAATTTTCATCAGTTTTTTTTTTATCTACTAGGAGTCTGATCTCAAGATGCAGATGTTTATACAGATTCTTCTAAAATTGTGCCTTGTGTGATTATGTATTATTTCTCTTACTTGCCAGCTTTCAACTTCTTGTGGAGTCCATTAAAAGTGTGGTCTTGTTAGTAGATTATTTTTAAAACAAAAGGAAGGAACCATCTCTTTGCCATCAAAAATAAGCAGTAAGATCTCTCAGAGCAGAACATCTTTCACATCTGAATAGTCGCAGTCTGGAAAAGATCACCGTAAATGTCTAGAGCAATTTCACACAGTGCCTCCACATCCATAGGGATTTGCCAGTGTGGTAAAATTGCTGTGGAAGTAGCAGAAACAACACTAACATACTTGCAGTTAGATACTATTCTGTCACTGGCTTCTAGTTCAGAGAATTTGGGGGTAACTTCAGTGGTGCTGAAGTTAATACCACATTCTTTCTTACCAGACTGTCAAGAAATAAGAACTGTGCTAAAGTTAACAAGAAATTTTAAAACAGCAAACACTTTGTTTTACATAAAGATTCACAAGACTGCAGTATTTCTGCTTATCTTGTTCTAGCCAAAACAGAATTCCATACTGTCTATAGTGAAGATATCAAGGGAACAGTAACAAGATTTTTATTCTTGCATTTGTTAACATGACATTTATCTTAATGTTTTCACCATCTRAAAATACTCTGGCTCAGTGGCACAATGACTTAGCTCTCCTATCAAAGCAGCTGCCATGAAGACTGCGGCAGTGCTGGGCGCTCTGATGCCTCGTGTCAGGCTGCGCTGCTTTCCTCAGGGAGTCTCCTTGGGTCAGACCTCTGGAGGTGACCTCGAAAGCTATAAGGGAAATGCAGCAACACCACCTTTCCCTACTGCCAGAGCAGCATGAGARTAGCTACCATAGAGCACAGTTAAAACTGCTTCATTCCCTTTCAGTTTTTTAAGTACTACTGATGGTGCTCAGTTTCTGAGAACAGATCTAAGTGCACTTCAACTATATTATACATTATTTCTGGAGAAAGTGTTTGTTCTGCTCTCCTCCTAATTACCATGTTTTTCACCTRCACAATTCCTGTCATTCTTCATGATCCTTATTTGCAGGGAGCATCTCCCTAACCTAGCCTTTCAGCTCATYATTCCATCGCTTCCTGGAGAACACAACACAGACTTCCGAGCTGCAGACACAGCCAAAGAGATTTGTGCTTTGTGCCAAGGACTTTGCTCCAGGACTGCTTCTTGAGGACTGTAGGAGAGATGACCATTAAACAAGCCAGCAACACAGGAAACACTTTGCACTTTACCTATGCAAAATCCTCCCGTTTTTTTACTGTAAGATGATGTATAAAACAATTTTGCAGCCCCAAAGGATTCCTAAGGATGTGAAGCTAGAGATAACCTGAATCTGCTGTCTCTTGAGGAAGAAGCATAGAGTACCTGGTCCCTCTTGCTGCCAGGCAGGAGGACGAATATATGGTGACACCCCTTCCCCTGTAATAGCAGTTGCCAGTGTCCATATCTGAGCTCTTTTCCTTGGTGGTAGCAAGAACAAACCTGCCTTTTAAAGATTACACCACAAACAAGTAGGCARTGGGGCTATAGATATTTCACTTCCCACCAGCTGTCAGCACCTGATTTTGCTTTTTCCTGTATCACAGTGTTTGAGGTTGGAAGGGACGTATGGAGATAATCTGGTCCAACTCCCTGCTCAAGCAGGGTCAGCRCCTAGCACAGCATTACGTCCAGATGGGTTTTGAACATCTCCAGAGAAGGAGACCTCACAACCTCTCTGGACAACCTGCTCCAGCAGTCAGCAAAGAGGTTTTTCCTCATGTTCAGGCAAAAGGTYCTGTGCTTCTGGTTGTGCCCAGTACTTCTCCTCCTGTTGCTGACAATCACTGAAAATCTTGTATCCACTGTTAAGACCCCCATGGGAGTCCCGTGTGCTGCAGGCCAAGGCCTCTGCTGCTGGCCGAGGGGCTCGGGGCCCTGCCCGGCGCCGCCGCCCTGCGCTGGCCGCTCTGCACCAGCCCCGTGTCCCCCCGGGGCTGCCGAGCGCAGGGGCCTGGGGCTGCTCCTGCCCCGGGGCAGGGCAGGACCCTGCGCTGGCCCCCTGAGCAGCAGGAGGTGCCGCTGTGCTCAGCTCTCCAGGTCTCTGCACAGCAGCCCAGCCCAGGGCTACCAGCCACCGCTCAGTTTTGTATCATTAGCAAAGCTGCTGAGGAGGCACTTTCACTCCAAATCCAGGTAGTTGACAAATGTGGGCCCGGTACTGACCTCTGGGGGGCACCACTGGCCACAGGCCTCCAACAGGCTCTGCACCACTAATCACAACCCTCTGAGCTCTGCCATCCATCCAGTCCTCCATCTACCTCACAAGTCCTGAGTTCCCCATGGGGATGTTATGGGAGACAATGTCAAAACCCTTGCTGAAGTCAASGTAGACAACATCAGCTGCTCTCCCCTCATTCATCCAGCCAGTTACCCCATCGTAGAAAGGTATCAGGTTGGTTAAGCACGATTTCCCCTTGGGGAATGAATCCATGCCAACTACCCTTGTTCACCTTCTTGTCCTCCTCATACCTTGAGACAATATGCAAGACGAGCAGCTCCATCAACTTCCCAGGGATGGAGGTGAGGCTGCCTGGCCTGTGTTTGCTCTGGCACACTAGCTCTGGCAGCTAGGCTTACAGACACAAAGCTAAAAACAAGTTTGCTTCCACCAACAAAAAAGTGTTACCAAAAAGTCTAAGTTTTCTTTAGATTTTTTCACAAGCAGTAGTGCCATCTGTGGCATTTGTCATAAATCTGTGCAAAACATAGTGATACGGAGTGAATACTGTGAACATTGCTTGTTGTTCACAGTATCTGTCAAAGAGAAGTTTTACTGTATCGCAATTTTAGGGACTGTTTTCCTCATCCCTAGGAACTACCTTTAAAAAACTATGGACTTGTATAACATCTCTGAAATTACAGCTGTCTCTTAATTGCTCCTGGGAAGGACCCAAAGCTAAGAACATGTTTTGATCAAATCTAGCAGGCTGCTTCACAAGGGAAGTTCAATTTTCTTTGGCCTTTTCACTCAAACCATCCTTCCAACAATGCATGAAAGGCTAAAACATGATTGTATTTTGCTGGAGAAATACAAATGTTATTGTATTTCTGGCCATGAAGTTACCTTTTAGTTTGTTTGTTTTGACAATAGCTTATTAATTCAGCCTTTCAAAGGTTTCACTCTGAGAAACAAGCACAGTCTGCAAAATCACTTGGTGTTCTTTATGGATAAGATTGTCTAGAGAGAGACCTCATCAGAATCTACATGATGAGGCTACAGTCTCCTCCTYTCTAGCCGAAAATGTGCATTTTGAGGTATCAGTAGTTAGAACTATAGAAAAAGCACAAATCAAACATCCTGTAATTATGTTTTTATTTCATGCTGTGCTGCAAGTAATTTACAAATGGGTTCCTATAATACTTCAGTGTGGATAAGGCAGTCTTAGAATACTTTCAAGATATTTGCAAAGATGACTTTAGGTTCACGTCTCATAGAGAAGCAAATTAGTTTCTCCATGGAGAGAAAATGAAACTATTTAACATGCTACTCTGGTGAGTTAGAAAGTTAAGAGCAAGTGTATTGAAAAATCAAGAAATGTGTGCCCCAAGTTGAAAGCATCAACAGTGCATTATTGCTCGAAGAGTTTTTAATACATACATATACATATAAATGTGAGGTAGGTTTTGCTTGCTAATCTAGAATATAGTAACAGTAATCTCAAAAAGAGAACTCCCAAATCTGAACTGATGCCAGTTTATGGTAAAACAGATTAAAAAAGAAAGAAATCCTTCTTGATCCATAACAAATCAGCTTTCTGGAATAGTTAAGTCTGTTGCAATTTAGGTCTATAAATGTCAGCCCAGGCTAAATTTCAGTTAAAAAAACATATGGAACCACAGTATCCCCTTATTGTGTTACTTGCATAAACTCTTTTATTACAGATATGTACAGTTACAAACTGATTTTACACAAGGACCTTTTACAAAGGCCTACTAGGAACTGAATTCAGTCTCATTGGTTATTCAGCTTGGTGAGAATCTCACTTCATCTTTTCTGATGCCAAACTACGATATATTCTAGGCATACCTAAAAATGGATTAAAGAATAAAACAGTTACAGTCAAAACATGCAATTCTTTGCAGTGTACAGCATCATCAGCTGAATTAGGCATGGTAAATATATTTTGCTCTAAGGTAAAAACTACCGGTGGCTTTTTTTTTTTTTTTTTTTTTTCTTATTTAACAGTGACCGTCATGGCATGGAAGATAGGAAGATTGCAGTGTGGCAATGCCAATGTCTGTCAGATAACCTTCAGTGGAATAAGGCAAAGGAGTCGATCCCCTCTCCTGTACAGGATTTACTACAACRCAGAGTGGTTTCAAATTCAAGGAAGTGTAAAATGCTACCAAGTCTCATTTTCACAAAGGCAAAAGTTTCCTTCCTCTCACATGTATAGCAGCTCAGGTCGTGCTCTCCACAGAAATGACCGGCTGTGGGGTTTTTGGGTTTTTTTAAATCTTATCCTACAGAAATAGCCCAGAACTTTTAGAAGGGAGCCAAAAGCGTGCTCAGTTGCTCTCTCTCTCTTTCATGCAGTGTTACAGGAGGAGAGCTCCACACTGGCGACACTCGGAGCAATCAGGGAGACAGGGCAGGACTGGGCTGCAGGGGTTAGCACCACCAGGTTCTTTGCGCACACCACAGCACTTGGGGAATCTAAAGCCAGCTATCAAAATGAGGTCTTCCTTGCCCCATGCACACTGATTTGCATCTTCTTGTCTGAAACCTGGACTTCAATTTTAAATTGTGTTTTAATTTTAAAAGCCTTATAAATGCTTAGACATTACAGAGAACATTTTTTCATAGGGAAGTCTTTCTTTTCCTTTTTTTTTTTTTCTTTTTTTTCAAATCTCCCACAATTGTAGGAGCCATTATGGAAGGGGAAGGACAGCATGGAGTGGGAGAAATAAATAACAAAACAGCAGGACTCTGCAACCTCACAGGGGAAGGCTGTGAAATAAGGCTGCTGTGTTGTGGCTCTTTTTCAGAAACAAATACTCTAAGCATTAATACATAAAGAACAGCAGTCTAAATTAATGAACTAAACATGGTTAATTAGTGGGCAGGCAACCTTGAAATCACACAGTGATTTTTTGATTACATTTGCAAACCACAGTCCCACTTTATACGACCTAAATTACTCTTATATGCAGCATACAATTTGACCACTTTTCCCCAGGATGTCTTTCAAATGACTAATGGCACACATTTACCGAGGAGTGATTTCTAAGGCTTACCTAAACTAAAAACTCTTAAGGAAATCTTATTTTGCTCCCAAGAGGAGGCAGCTGTCGTTCTTGAAAAGTYACTCACATTCAAACAATGGATCTGACAGTAAATACAGGTTATGAGAGACCAGTAAATTATTTCTAATCATCCTCACAGAAAACGGGTATCAACCAAACCCAAACCATAACCATGTCCATGTCACAGGTTTTTCCACTGCATGGTTATGTTTATGATTATTGCCTATCTTCCACAAACAGTCCTATTGTAAAAACATGCTAATTTATTTAGTCAAAGGGCCCCCACTTGAAAAATAAAACATCTAATGTGGTACATTCTTAATGTACTGGTGAAAATTACTTAATTACTATATTTTCACCAGACACAAAGGGTTTACTGTGGAATCGTCATATAGGTCTGAGCTAAAAAAATGAGATAAAAAGGAAACATAATGAACTAAGGAAACATTATTTCCCATGTGTGCCTCTGGAAAAATCAATTTTACCAGTTTTATTAGCCTGTCTACTTTTATGCCAAATACAGCAATAAGAACAAGAAAGGCACACATCCATCCAGCCAGGTTTTCTCACAGGTCATTTTTGCTCTGCAAGAATTGAGGGTCCCTTCCTGCTGGCTGTCTTGATCTGTTGTTGACATTTTTTCTCAAACAGGAGTCTCAACGGGCTGCAGCACTTCATGCTCCCTGCTCTGTTGGGAAGGACTGCATGGATTTTTCCTCATTACGTGTTTTTATAAAGAAAAGATGCGTCTTTCATGTCTAGTATCAAGGTATGTACCCAGCGCTGTGTAGCTTAGCATATTGCTGATTCTGCGAGAATCATAATGACATAAAGCACATTTCAAAAATAGCGTCAATCTTCGCTATATTAATTATAGGAAATGCATATCTATGTTCTGTGTAAATGCATTCTACTATTTTTGTCACAGCACTTAATCCCCACAGATGTTACAAAACTATTTCCTTTTACTCTTYGTCACACAACCTGAATGGAATAAAGCATTATATAAGAAATCACTGAAATAACAGTGCCCTAACACCTGTGAAATTAAAATAAGCCATAAAGAGTCAGAATCTTATTCATACACAGTAGCTATGCTGTCTGACATTCAAGACTTTAGCACTGTATTTTTAGTCATTARATGTAATGGTAAATTTTCATTAAAAGCATTTCTTACCTAAAAAATGGATTCTTTAAATCAAGAATGTTACCCGATTTAAATCCTGTCTGGTCTACCACAGCCACAATCTGAATATCGTAACTTTGTCTGCATCAGAAATAAAAATATGAAAAGCAATAACAGAGGTAAACAATGGTTTTATTTTTAGACTCTTGTGTTAAAAAGACAGCTACTGTCTGAACCGTAACCACTTAGCGTAACAAGCAAAGTTACGCTAAGCAAGCAAAATAAATTATTTTTCTGTGCTGTTAGTGCTGGGACCCTACTCTTTACAGAAATAAAATTTACCAAGACACTTAAGTRATGTTAAGGATTTCTATCCAAGAACATCATCAGTTTACATTGAAAGAAGGTAAGAATGAAAGGTCTTTGCTCTTTCCAACAAAAATATTATATATTTCAACAGTAATGTACACAGAGTATTAACTCAAAAATATCTATCTGGCYAGAAAGCATTAGGTTCATTCTCTCTGTAACCCAGGATATCACTGGAAAGGCTAATTTTAACAGGACTTTTTGCAAGCAACTGTGTTTGCACAGAAGAGTAAAAATAAATGATTGGGCCATTGACACTATCCCTGCTGTAGTTATTAGCACCTTCAGTGTATGCCCATACTCAATAACGGTGTTTTATGACATGCCTCTAATTAGCAACTGACTTGGGCTGTCACCAGGAATCAAGAACTCATCACTGGATTCTTTAATGTGTGGGTTTTTTGTTTTTTTGTTTTTTTTTTACCCTTCCTTTGGCTGTTTGCTCTTTTTAGAATGTCAATATTCAAATCACAGACTCTTCAAGGCAAGAATTTCAGCAGGGGTACCAAAAGACAAAAGCTCTTCTGCTCAGTAAAAACGGAGTATACTCACTTTTAGAAAAGAAATATGAATATGCAGTATAACAGCACCATACAATACAGTTAATGCAGCAYATGTTTTTTAAACTCAAGTTGACCTCAAAAGGCAAAAGATGTCGCCTGGTTTTTATGTATGAGGCAAAAAGTGAAGAGAGAAAAAAAAAAAATGCTCAAGCAGACCCAAACCAGTGCTTCTGCAAAGAATACCAGTGTACAGAGTAATGTGGAGATGCTATCTTGATCTTGAGGGCAGGTCAGCTTTGCAGCAGGACTTCAAGCTCYGTGGTAACATGTGGTCAAAATGCTCCTCGTTCTAAACATAGCCAAGTCTTCAGCTCCACCATCTCTGTTGTAAATATGCTTTGTATGTTGAGAGATTTACAGTGGTCTCTGTGTGGTCAGCTTTATGGAATGTTTCTCTGTACATTAAAACAGTAATGCCTTTTGCTTTTGAAAGAGACACAGGGGGATGAGTGAGGAGCTCCTAACCAGAAGACCTGGCAATCTGACAAGTCTCACATGTTGTAGAGTGAGTGATTGCTGACAAATTTGGTCTCAGTGGACTCACCTGATCGGCAAGTACAAAAAAAGGAGAGAGAGAAAAAGAAGTGATTCACCTTCCTACACAGAAGAGGCTTTGCTTTCAATTGCAACCACAACTATACACAAGAAGATCAGGCTGCAACTTGTGTGAACCAGTCTCTTCATGACTGTTTTTGAAACAAAATAGAGGAGTGAAGTTTCCGGACCTCTGACAGGCAGCAGGAGCAGCACAGAAGTCTGCTGGAGAGAGGTCTCCTTTCCATTAACCCCAGGGGATGCACAAGCCAGGATTGTGTGAAAACACTGGGAGAGCACGTCCATTGCATTTTATTTTAGAATTAGTGCTGTAGAATGGGATCAGGGTCATCCCCACTTTTATCTCTGCCTGTGATTTACTGAGAGGCCATTGTGATAGCGCTGCCAGAGAATGACCACACTGTTGAGCAGGCCCCTGGCCTGAAGTTAAACCTATTGAGTAATGCTTGGAAAATATTTGAGCATAACTTAAGAAATTGTATATGATAGATACCTGAATGAAAATCTGTCAAAAAGCACAAGTAACATTGTGACRGGTGGCTGGATTTCACAAGTGGAGTTATGTGAGAAACAAACTCAYAGATGACTGACATGGAGCACTGGGCACCTTTTGGGGAGCAGTACCTTGCAAGGCCAACAGGTCGAGGTAAGTTTATCAGCGACATTATGTAAATCCAAAATTACCTACAGAACAATGTCAAAAATAGCAAATCTGGGTACCCCAAACTAACTGGGAGGAAGACAGTTTGCCTAGGTAGTAACTGGGCAAAGGAGGTACAAGGATTGAAAAAAGAGAATCAAAAATAGGGAAAGAGATGGCAAGTTGTGCTAATGCCATGAAAATGCTGTCACTGCAGCTGGAAAGCAAACGACATGCACTGTGCTGACCATGACACGTGAAAGAAGCCTSTTCCAAGAGCCAGAAGTCACAGTGCTTTCTGTGGCTAACGGGAGAATGACCATGAAGGTGGATGTGACCACGTCAGTGCCCATCCCAGGCCTCATGGCATGGGTGACTAACACCACTTATTAGTAGAAACAAAAATTGCAGGGAAAAAAAAATGAATGAAAAAAATCAATGAAAATAAATCACAGAAATTAATTCATTTTAATAGAAACCTAAAAGCCATTGCTGAAGCTTAAACTTGATTCTACTGCTACCATCCCCTCTGTGAAAACCAATTCTGCTGTGCTAAACATTGTAACAAGCAATGTAAGTTGCTGTGACCCCTAATAATCCATGTTATTGAACTATGAAGTTTTCTATTTCTGTGGGCCTAAGCCGTATTAATTATTAATTATAGCTTACTCCTCAGAACAGATTCTGCAGTATTTATCCAAATTGTCTTTGAGTACTTCAACTAGAACAGCCACGGTGCAAARCCTACTTTATGAGGCTTTGTACTTACCTTTTATTGGCAACAAACAAAACTTTCCCTGAGAGAGTTTCTCCCTCCTTAGCAAAGAGAGGCGTCTGAAGAAGGCAGCGCACTTGGTACCAGTGGGTGAGAGGCTCCGTTGGCGCAGTTGACAACCAAACAGTTACCCTAAAACAAACAGTAGAAACTATCTAGACATGGCTTCTCATTTTATTCTTTCAAAAACAACTTAAAACATATTAGGACTTCAGGCATATAGGGCTGAATAGCTACTAAAAAAAAATTTTAGACTACCCTGAAGCAAACTAAACCAGCAACTATATCCTATGTTGCTTTCTTAATCTATACCAYGCTTGTCACTACCAGACCTGAGTGTCTCAGACAATTTAGGAGATTCAGAAAAAAAACTTCGCAGGCTCGTGTTCTCTCTTCTGCACACAATTCTGGGACAGAAATTAATGTTCTCTGTCCTATCTTCCCACTCAGGTAATTAAAAGAAGTTACAGGAAATACACGTTTGTCCTGAAAGTTGTAATGTGATTCTTTACAGTGGTGATTTCATCAAAAAACACCACTCCTGAAGAAATTACTACAGCAGTTTTTAAACAGTTCTGCTTATAAGAGGTATTTTCATCTGAAAGGGGCTGAAGGTGTTAACAAAGCAATAACATGTAAAATATCCTGGATCCAATCCACTGAAATATCAAGTGCTGAGACAAAGAACTTTAGAATATAGTATATTGCAAAAAAATGTAAATCTGCATAAATTTAAGTAGAAAGTTAAACATAAAAAGCTAAATACAGACAACTGAARTCTATCTTTTGATTTCTCAGGTAACTTTATCTAATTTTTATTAGAAATCAAAGCTTATTTAATTTTCAYCTCCTCACTACACCAGATGGATGTCATCATTTTGAAATGAACAGTGGTGTTTTCCTTGAACTTGGAGAGGCTTTCTCCATTTCTGTGTTGTAGGCAGCTACCTGCAATCTCCTTTCCATTTCACCCATAAATTAGACCAGGCCAAAACAGAAAGTTCTAGCTCATATTCATGTGCTACTTTCTTACTTATAGTGTAATGCATAGAAGTATATATTATATGAAGAATAATTACAGTGTGGATAGATGTAAGGACCATCTTGACCATTAACAATTCCTGGATGAGGTATATGTTAGATTTTACACATACCAGTCAATGGAAAGCAATGGAAAGCCTTTTGAGTTATGCTGCTAGCACTGAGTTATCGTTCTTTTGTTACCCCTAAAAGGAATAATTTCCTTAGTAACAAAGCAACAAGAAAAATTGGCAAAGATGATATGAACAAGCTGGGCACTCCATAAAGATCTAACTCTGGTACACCTGGGATTCTCTTCCATAGTAGTTTGGGGAAAAAGCACTTACAGCGATCCCACAAAAGCCACATCAAACCAGAAGGCCAGGCCATGGATTAGTCCAGACTGCATCATTTGGAAAACAAAAGGGATTTCCACTCTGCAGAGAAAAAATAAAATGTTTCCAAAGGTACTGAAAACAAAATTCCATCATCTCCACTCACTTACTGAACCTATCCTGTACTATTTTCTACATATCCATTTTTATTTATCGATTTGTGCCTCTATTTTCCATATTTTTAAAAGAATTTGTGCTTATTTTCAGTGTCAGTAGAAATAGCTAATGGCAATAGTTTAAGCATTAATTTTTATGTGCCTCATTCAGCAACAGACCCAAACAGCCCATTTCCAAATCCTTACTGTGTTGCTGGTGACAACAGTAAGGATTTGTACAAATATGAAAGTTCAATTTTCCTAAAGGAAAATTTCTCATTGCCAGTGAAGGAGGTGTATTTATATTAAATACCATTCCAACAGGAAAGTGCTCCAGTAGAAATATCACAAACAAAATGACTCTTGGAAGCAGAAGCAAAAAACTGAGAGGTAGCAAGGATACTTCATTTTCAAAAGGGGGATTAGTGCCATGCAGTTACAGCCAAATCTCTCTGCATCTTGCAGAGACAAATCATGAGGCTAGCATTTATGTAGAGAAAAGCACATAATACTTGGTCATGGTTTAGAGAGACAGCATACAAAAATTCCCTCCTGAGAACTACTGAAACTAGCCAACCCTCGCCAGTTGAAACTTGAAAGTGATTCTCCAGATGTTTGCTTCTCTCAGAGCAATTCCTCTCTCTCAGCAGACCGTGTCCTACATACAGTTTGTTGTGAGTCATGCTGAAATAATAAGTGTTCTGAGTTTCAGAGACAGCCTGTGATGTTTCCTCTTATGTCTTGCAAAGCGCGCTGATGTGGTCCCTCAGGTTCTCTGACAAGGTATGTTTTACTTCAGTAATGTGCTTGGAAGGAGGCTGCTCTGCTCTGTTTCTGGGACAGAGAGACATGCAGTCTGGTCCTTCTGCAAGGCTTTCTAACTACCAGTTTGCAGGGAAGTAAAGAGGTACATCCGATCRCTGTTAGACTAGGGCTTTTAAAAACAGTCCAGCAGCACAGCTTGCAGTGACGCTACCTTATCAGTAGGGTCTCAGGTCTTTCAATATGTGGAAGCAAACGACAAAAATCTGTCACCAGAGCTAAACTAAGCATGACTTAACAGATGATGCTAGGGAGCAAGGGCTCTCATCTCCTCTCTTTCCACAGGAATCTTYTCTGAACCTCTCTGTCCTGTTTCAYGGGCTCATCATCAGGCTGTCTCACCACCAAGAGACAACCAGTCTGCAAATGAAGGCCATGGTCACCACTGGAGGTACCCCAAGCATCTGGCCATGCCACCTTACTGGTCTGCACTCACCACTGACCAAACCCACCAGCTTCAGGGCAGTGAGGAGCAACCCCAAAAGCAGAGCACGGGGGACGTGGTGGAGCCACCATCACCAGCAGTGTTCAGGTAACGCGCAGACGAGGCGCTTCGGGATGCGGTTTAACAGGCAGGGTGTGAAGGGTCTACGGTCAGACTCCAACATCCCGAAGGTCTTTTCCAACCACAGCGATTCCACRACTGTGTGGGGGCAGTGGTGTGTGCTAACCTGTGCAAGTCCTCCTCCGCAGCCTCCGTGAAGTTGATGGTGTACTTCACCGTCCGAGACATCAGGATTCGCACATCAAAGGTGTCCTGCGGGGAGCAGAGCCGTGGCGTTACCACCCGGCCTTGTCAGCGCACAAATGTGCTGCTAGACACGACGGGAGAGAGGGACGAGGCAACCTTCACACCACTCRTTTTAAACAAATGCATTCTTTTAACAACGCTGAAAAAGACAAATCTGCACTCTCAGCGGGATTAAACATATTCAATAACTTACGCAACGTGCCCACCTTCAGAGGAAGAAGAATCTCAGCTGAGAAAGCAAATGTCTTAATTTACAGTGGGCACGGATGATGCTGAGTCAAAGACACATTTGAAACTTAGTAATTGCAACAGACCCATTTCATGCAGTGAGCGGAGCACAGAGGAGGAGTCACAGCAGCTGYCAGGCTCTTTCCAGGTTCCTGGGCAGGTTGTACAGCCTCCATTCAACTGCAGCTATTGCTACTTAAACTAACCAGCTTCAAGCGAGCCCAGACTTGCTGCAGAAGGACTTTTTCATTGTGTATTGTGATGCACTGAGCTGAGGTGGGGAGGTGGTTGTGGCTTTTTGTCTCTTTGTTTTTTTTTCCCCCAGAGAACTGAACAAGGAATAACMCCTATTCCTTCCAAATAGGTACAAACCAGGCTTCTATTAAAAAGAACAAGGACTGCAGATGTTCAATCCAAGGATACAATAAAATAAGAATACTTCAGTGCTAAAATAAAATTTGTTTCCTAATACACAAWTCGGTTTGTTTGGCCACACGTGCAAAAGCAGGTATATACAAACCTACCACAATAGGCTGTCTGAAATATTCATCCACAGCTGCTTTGCGAAGACTGGAGAGATTGACCCCATAAAAGCATTCTTGGTACCTAGAAACATTAATGCATTGAAAAGGTTTAGGAAAAAAAATAATCTGGATTCCACTGAAATTCCACGTGAAAGCCCAATGCCCAAAAGATGTCAATAAAGGGGGAAGTTTTCCTGAGGGCATTTTTAATTCCTGCAATTTGCCAGAAGTCCAACTTCCATCTATCCTCAGTTTCCTTCTTCAGCTTCCCTTCCCTGTGGATACCTTCTACAGCACTGAGGTGTCCTCAAATGGACACATAGAGGGTTTTAACACCAGATACTAAAAGTGGACAATAGAACAATGGGGTTGAGGAAGTCATTTTGAAAGCCTTTTAACCAGGGCTTGTCCAGAAATGAGAATGAAACGGGTACAAATTAAAGAACTGCTGAAGACCCCTGTATTACTTGTCTGGTCTTTTCTGTTGACACTGAAGAGAAAAGCGAATGTTCATCTTATAATAACTGAAAAACAATGAACAACAGCAACACAACAGAAAACCAACAGTTTTATCTTTCCAATTTATGAAACTGTTCACTGAATACAAATCCAGCCTACTTAACACATAAATTCTGAAATTGAAGTATACATGCCTACAGCAAATTCCCCAGAACCTGATCCTCTTACCAAMCCCACAAAGTTAATGGGTATCTTTATTTTCAGGCGACAGACCCAAAAGGGGATGGAGAGGGAGAACAGCAAGGGAGATCAATTTGTGATGAAGTGTCATCTAAATGTAAAACAATGGCTTGAAGCTTTCCCCYGAGTCTTTAGAAGCACTTAAGACAGGAAGCCTTAATTTTTTGTCTCTATGTCTCAGCTCTTAAATTGTCAGTACTTAGTTGATTAGGTCTAAGCCAGTTTAATGACACTCCTTTAAGTTATCTTCTTTGAGAGCAGTTTGCTACATAGGAAGGGATTTATGATATACAAAATACATCTCATATTCTGAGTAGAAAAGATAGATAATAAAGAAAAGCTGTCTTTTTTTGAGGCCTGGAATTTGGTGCTTATAGAAACACTGTTTTTCAGCAATTAGCACAAAAAAGTGTCCTTGAAAGCTGGTATCAAGACTACATTAACTCCAGGAGTATTTAAACATCTTCCACAATATTTTCAGCATATATCCATACAAAGCATTTTTCAGCATATATCCATACAACCACATGAAATAGGAGGATTGATGAGAAAGTCCCCTGCTTGGAAGGCACCTCAAGACAGCAAAAAAACTATATTATGATGACAAAATTATTTTGTTTAGCAGCAAGTCAAACAAAATCTGAAAAAGAGGAATGTCATCCAGTTTATATCCAGATATAATCTGTGATTAGTATGGTTGAAACATTCTCATGAAAAATAAAAAGAATATAATAAAGACTTGTCAAAAATGGGAGACAATGACAAAAATATCTTTGGTGCAGAATAATAAGTTACTCCTGCAGATGTGAAAGATGTAATTTTACCTTTTATACAGTTCTTTGAGAGCCTCATAATGGTTGCCAGAAATCATTGCAACTGAAACCATGTGCAAGTGCAGTKTCTGCACGGAGTCAAACCATGCTGGTTTAGATCTAGAAGAGGTTTCAGTGCTTTTTTTTAATAAAAATACATATCTGTGCTACCAAACTGTAAGGAGCTGCTGTAGGTGGACTGTACCACTTCCGCTGCACAATTCCTGAATGACAAAAGCTGGAATATTTTCTTCCACCGCCACCATGACCATATCCTTCATGATCTCAGGGAGAGGGATCAGAAAGTGCTTGAGCAAATACCACAAGTTACTTCTACTTTGTTTTTGTTTCCAAGTCTCTTGCCACAGAATAATCTTGCTTCAGCTCTGGGTGTATATTTTATACCTTGTTCAGCATACGTGTTGTCTCTTAACTTACGCAGGTGAGGCAAAAGAGTAACTCTAAAGCATTCAACCTATAAGACTAATTTTTATCACACATTTAATTGCTATAGGATAATAARGTGTAATTCACAGGCAGCCAGAAAAAAACTCTGTTATAAAAGAGAGCATCTTCCGTAGTCTAAGAACCAATAAAGAGCTTTGATGAAATCAACTTAATGTTCAGACACCACACTGCAAGCTGAAAGAACTTAATAACAGGTATAATCTTCCAGGACATTTAAAAAGAATTAATCCTTTACACAGCACTTTTTACCCAAGAACTTCAAGTATCAATCCATAAATGATTAATTTATAAGTTAATTGATCTGTAACTTCTGAAGGAGATATTTAGAAATTATCTTGCCCTTTGCTGAAGATCTTTCCCTTTTTTTTTTTTTTTTTCTGATTAAAATATGCCGTCTATATTTCTTCCCATACAAAGGCCATCAAAAGCTCCACAGTGGATATTAGCATTAGGACACCTTTTTGCAAAAAAGTTTCTTGTTGAAGCTGCATGAAAATTTCAGTCAACAGTAATCTATCATTCTCACCCCAAAAACACTGTGGCTCCTGCCCAGTGCTGTAGGAGTCAACACAGAAACATCAAAGAGCTCTCTTCCAGTATTGACAGATACTAAGCTCCACTTCATTATGAACCACACAATTAATTAAACTTTTAACTATTACTGAACCTCCAGGCAATAAAAAATAAAATAAAATATCATTACCAAAAATTGGCTCTGGAGTAGTGTTCCATGTACAGCTGCTCATTGGAAAAAGGAGCGAAATGAATGTCACTAAGTGTTGGAAACATCATTCCTAGTAAACAAAAGATAATATACAATAGCAATGCAGAGTCCCACAGGCATTTCTTACAGGAATGTCCTCCCTAGCAAGACATCACCAGTTCAGAAGCAGCAGTTGCCAAACACTTCAATGGGATAACACTTATTTCACTAATATAATGGATTACTAAACTCTGAATATATTTAATAAAATATATTTATTAAATGAATATATTATATTAATTAAATGAATATTTAATAAAAGCAGTCAGTAACAAAAGCAACCCACAACAAATGGGCTGTACAGAGAAGAAGCTTCATAAAACCCTATGATGGACCTGTATCAACTATTTGAAAAAATGCAGCTCTCTCCAGATGAAGTGAAATGCTACCTTCTCGATGACCTCCCATGGAACAATCTTGTTGGTTAGACTTTTCTCAACAATCTTTTCTCAAAAGCTTGTGTGAAGAATATTCATTCAAGCTCAAATGATCCTGAGTTAAACTGCAGGCTATGGTTTTGGTCAAATTCAGAAGAACTATTCYTAAGGATATGAAACAGTTATACACACTTCCCTCTGCTAGGCTTCTTATCTAGGAATATTACAGGACTCCAGAAAAAACACTCACAAACCTGCTGGCAGGTGCCAAGATTGCAGCAGGAAAAATTTTATGTGCATTAAGTGGGAAATTAGTGACAGTAAGAACTCATGTCCTGGTGTCTGAGGAAACTTGAGAATTCTGCCCCYTTCCCTGTCTTTTTTTTTTTTCTTTTTCTAACAGTGGGCATCACATCAGACAGGCAGCCCAAAGGGATGCCCTTGTATTCATTCGTGTGCATGTCAGTGAGAAGCAGGGAACGAAGCCCCATCGTTTTAGATCACACTTTAACATATCTCACCAGACGCTTTTCTACCCGATACAAATCATGATGTGGAGTTGGAGGAGGAGAGGAGGATAGGGAGAAGGAAACTCTTTCTGCAGGTACATCATGTAGGAAGAACCCATAGGAATTCAAGAAAGAACAACACCCACTCATAAAATAGACGTGCTTTTTAAAATTGGCTGTAAGGGATAACATGAACACATCTGCAGAGAAGAACTTCATACAGAAGGTTTCTAAACTTACCTGATTTTTTTTCTGCTACTAAATACCAGCAAGTTAACATTCCATCATTCCATAGAGGATCATCAAGTTTAATAATCACTGCATAAGGTGTGAGGTGAGTTTTCAGAGCCCTCTGAAAGCCGACCCTGAGATTCTAAACTGGAGGCTAAAGACCAGTGGATGACTTTTGAAAAACAGTACCCAAATATATTTCGGAAGAAAGAATCCAAAAGCAAAGCCACAATTAAAACTCATTAGCACCTGATTTTGAGGCACAGTTTATGCTTTACAGGTTTTCCACCCTGCAGTAGTTTCATGTGAGAAAGACTACTTTTAAAGAAGTCTTTAAACAGAGTTTGCAGTTCATTTTCAGCACGCATGTAGGAGAATTCAGCGTATAGTGATTGGATGCTTAGATTTACCTCACAAAAAACATTCCCACAACGTCTTGGATTTTATAGATTCCCTTCAAAATGTCTCCAAACAGAAGAGCAATGAAATACAGAGAACAGAACTGCYTTGATATGTCATTAAAGAAGAGAGATCCATATATCATTAAAGAGGAGAGATCCAAGTAGTAGAAAGAAGTATTTAGGTGAAGCCCTGTGAAAAGATGTCAAAATAATTCAAAATTCAAGTTCCCCTCTCCACTCAAAAGAAAGAGCTTGCTGTTTTTCCACTAAAAGTGACCATATTTGGCCATMCTGCTTTCATCTACACTACATTTGGGTAGTGTGCCATCTTACTTTATGATACACTGCAGGACAGATGCAATCATAGGGCACACCGTGGCAAGCTAAGATCAAAACAGAAACCAGCAGTGGGACCAGTAGTGGAACAACATATTCAAGATCCACCTCCAGCAAGAAATATCAGGGAGTCACATCACGGAGCAAGGGCAGTGGAGGCTGCATCATTACACTTGCCCCTTTGGGCTCTCTAAATGCTGCCAGTGGAGCTGCAAGCAAGGAATAAACCCAGACAATCCTTGGCCATCAGTGCTGGTCTTTCCTCTTCTTTCAGAGGCTTTTTCATCTTCCTTTCTCTATACAGAGTACTAAGAGTAGTGATTCACTCACCATTGCATTTCAGCCATTTTTTGGAGTGGAGGTAACTTTCCAACATCCTTTCATTGAAAAGCATATAACCCATCGGTTCAGAAATTACCACATCAACACCCTCTGGTAGGGAGATCTCCTCGATTTTTCCTGACAGGACGATGATCTTGTCAGAAAGGTTGTTACTTCACACCAACAGCTGGAATTTGAAAACAAAAAATACACAGTAAGTTATTGGCTTCYTTGCTTAGCAAATTTTCAGCAAGAGATCTAAACTGGGATTAAGTATTCTACACTGTAGAACAACAACAAAGGAGTATAATTGTCTTTATTATCCTGTACACAGTAATTCAGTTTCTCATTTTCTAGCCATATGTTCATTTCTCACACACACACACACACACAAGTTTAGGAACTTAAATGGTAGATGTGACCACAACCTCTCAAACTTTAGCAAAACTGCCTAAAGGTGATTGAAAAGGATGGGTTAGACAAGTATACAGGAAATGTGTGCTTCCTTAGGAATTCATTCAACAATAAGGGATTTCAGTGTTTAAGATAAAGAACTAGTCAGTATTTTGTGGTTTCTGAAGATAAATACAAAGAAAGTACCTTTTCACTTCTTTATATATCCAAATATTTTCAATCTCTTTGATCTATCAGATATACATCCCACACCAAAATACTAGTGCTTCTTCATATAGAATCAAATTAACTATTTCAAAATCCTCCTACAGGAATTTTAGAGAACCTTAGGTTTTCCTAGCTGTGGCCCCACCATAACAACTCTTTACTATCTACATCCCGAATGGGGAAATCACTTTCGCTTACTATTTTGAATGCAGTAACCCTTTAACAGCATAAAACAAACCGAGTAACTTCTTGGAGGAAAAAATACTCTATTCAGGCAGAGCTACAGGCAAAAGCCCTCATGGAGTGAAAGCAGACACTTGGCCAACCATCATGCAGAAGAAAGAAGAGAGATAACCACGCTGAGACCCCAGGCAGGGGCTGCTCCACTGGATCTTTATTCTCCTGCAACGATGTAAAAGAAGATGAGCTCTGCATTTCACTGCCAAAGAGGAACAGTATCGCTGTCTCCATAGGGATGTTTATACCCTGAAATCCAAACTCTCAACCATGGAATACCTGTGGTTTGGGTCAACTTGTTTATCTCTGACATAGGCCACAGTTTTGAAGCAACTCCGGAGTATTTTGAACAAAACAAACTACCTCTTTGAATAGCTTGTTCTATCCAGGAGATGCTTTAGCTTACAGATACAGACCTTTTCTTGACCCACTGCCTTGTCAAGACCCCCACCTGCAAGGGACATGGATGCATGGAAAAATAAGGAACCACAAGGGGAAATGCACCCAAAGGAGGGTGGAGGTAGCCAGGTGGAGGGGAATGGAGAAGAGAGCAAAACAACACACTTTAACAAACAGCACACTTTGTGATTTTCAGCCACTGCCTGCTACTACACACCATAAGCAAATACAGTAATAGAACTATTTAATGAAAGAAAAATATACTAAATAAGACACAATTTTAATGAACTAAATACCAACAGTTGCACTTCTACTTGCTAGTTTATATCCATTCTAAAATCAACTAGACTTAWTTTTGTGTATTTAGTTTAATCTCTTTAGACCAGAGACTATTCCAGCAAAAACATTATTGCAATTTACTTCTGGAAACAAAACAAAACAGAAAAGTTGTTTTGCTCACCGGTGACTTTTTTTTTCTTATCTAAAAGCAGTTTTAACTCTGGAGGAAAGCGCAAAAGCAGCACACGTTCACAAGGGCAAGAAGCCTAAAGCATCCTCAGAAGCTCACAAACTGTGACAGRCAGCTCACATAGCTTGCTAGAGGGCAGCAGAATATTACGGTCTCTGCTAGGTATGGAGAAGATAACTGTGTTGAGAAAATACTTATTTTTACCAGAGATAATGGCAGGGAGACAAACTGAACAAACTGAACAGAAAACACGATTTTTTTTTTAATTACTTTTCCATATTATTATTATACAACTTTAAAAAATCATCCGTGTTTAGCAAACACACTCAATGCTAACACTTCAAATCAGAGCTATGACCCAGTATAACTAAAACATCCTGTGCTTTCAATCTTCCAAAGTTTAGCAGAAATCGCGTTTTTGTCAAGGAGCTAAGGTCATTTCATACAGTTTGGGCCACAGAGTCCCAGGGAACAGAAAATTCTGGTTACTCTTATAAAATTCTCCTCAGTTTCCTACCACTGTGGTCTGGTTGTAATCTGAAGACCCAAAGCCACCCTATGTCTGCCAGATTCTCACTCTGCATACCAAGGTTGTCAGGAAGCCAATGAATTGGCAAAATACAGAAGCATTTTTACACAAATGACTGAGAGAAACTAGATTAACAGCTTCCAATTTACTTCAGAGTTCTGTCTGAAATAAATCTTCTCGTGACCTGTCTTACGGCAGACACTCCTGCCGGCAGGTCTGTGACTCTACTTCTTTTCTGATTTTCACAGCAGTTTAATCAGCATTAGTTAAGAGTTTATATCCAGCCAGGTTAGTGACAATTACAAGCTACTTTTTGAACTTTTGAACAGCTACGGGATGTAAGCATCTGCTGTCCAAAGCATATAAAATACTGCTTGCTTCTCCCAGGCAGTACTAATCCAAAATGAAAATAAAGCAAAAAAAAAGAAAAAAAAAAAAACACCATGAGACCATGAATACCAGCTATGAAATAAGTCCTTGTCCCAGCTACCTCATGCTCCTTTGCTCCAACCTTACTACAACAAGATTACTAACACTGAGTTAAATCAATTTTCAAGAATTGAGGATTTAAATGTAAAAAGTTACATCTGTGTTCACCAATTCAGCAGGAATACTGGCCATGCCATGTAAAAGCTATGTCTTATCCAAACTATAGCCTTCAGCTCTTAATTGAATCGTCCAGTCTGTACCTTTTTATTGACATCCTGCTGTTCTTACTAATCTCATTATATTAAAGCTTTTTACAAAAAAAAAAMCAGCGAATTCTTTTTTTTTTTTAACAACTCTTACTGATAAATGAGGAACAAGCAGCTAAGGGTGATGGCAGCAGAGCTTTTGCTTTAGGGCTTCAGGGACTCATTAACACGTCTGTGCCAAAAGGAGGGGAGTTATGTGTGAGTGGGTGCGCTGACCATGTTTTCACTTCCCACACACCGTTTCATAARTTCCAGCAATCACCAAGTCATGGTCAGCACAATGCACTTGAACAAAAGAAATGAAGCTGTTTGCTTCGACAGAACAAAATTCTGCAAAATTCGTTATGAAAAAAAAAACCCCAAACCCTGGAAATAAAAGAAGTTTGGCTTCCAAAGATGGCAAATAGARCAACTACCAAAACAGAAAATAATAAGGCAGCCTCCTTAAAATTAAAATAGAAATAGTCAAAAGGCTTTTAATCTAACTGTGCAACTACATACTTACTGAGGAACATTATTACACAATTGTTTATGCTGCTTCTCTGATCTCTCTTAACAGGAGTAGTTGCACTTATATCAGAATTTAAAATATAAGGCTTGGTCCGCACATAAGAGTTCAGATACAGCACCAACGCCCTTCAACCCAGCTAAATTCTAACAGTGTCTCAATAAAATGCTTATTCTGTACTAGTTCCATCATTATTATTCTATACTGCTGTGCTGCAGATATCCAGCTGCATTCAGTGGGAAAAATCCAGTGATTTGGCTGAATACATAAGTATTAATTATGCAGCTAAATTCAGCTAAAAAGCTGAAATCCACAGTCCATCATTCCTGAAACTGCTGCCTTTATCCAGCTACCCTTCAAAGTTTCCATCCTGCCCATGTTTCTTTAAAATGTGCATTATCACCATCCCCTATCGACCTCACAACAGCACGTGATACACCTGATGGGATGGCAAACAATACATCATTATGTAGAGTTAAAAATCTTTTAATCTCAACAACAGAAAACAAACAGATGCAGTTTGCTTACAGTACTGAAGACAATATGGTGCACATATAAACATTACCTAAACAGAACATTGCAAAGAGGAGCAAACGTCGTGGTGGCTGAGAAAGAATTAATGCAAAAAAAGATGTAAATTCCTGAAGGTGTTGGACAGGGAGTCTATAAGCACCCTTGGAGCAGCAATCACAGAGCCTGCTCAAGGAGAGCCTGGTGCGCAGGCTCAACTACCATCTCCAAGGACATGAGGTTTCTCCCTCCTCTACCAAAAGACAGCAGGTAAATCTGGAAGGAGAACTTCCAAGTTATTTGGCGATTCTGTTATTTCTGCGTAATGTTAGTGTATAAGCAATTTTAAGCATGGTAACGAGACATAAACGTAAGCAAAAATGTTAGGAACTCCATGAGATACTATTATTTTCTGTGTAGAGAAATGTCAAGAGTGCTGGAGGGAGAAAACTAAATTCCTTGGCGTGTAATAATGAGTTGAACTTTTAAATTATATACTATAAATTAGTATCTCTCTGTTGTCATTTTTACTTCAAATGAAAGTAATATGTATAACAGGTATCTGTATGAACTTCACTGGAGTCACATATATACCACTATATATACATATAACTGTGTGTATGTATATATATATATATATATATATACACACACACACAAAACACCAGTTCACACGTATATACCACTGTAAAAAAGATGCTAAGGTCTCTCCAGCTTTTCAGAACTAGCCTTTCAATAAAGAAAGCTCCAACTACAGCTTTTCTTAATGAGGTTGTAAAAGAAAATGGAAATGAAAGCAAGTTAAACTGATAACTAGTGAAAAAGCCTCCCTACKACTACTTGCACTATAGTACAATTTATATGTATATATACACACATACATATGAACTCTTTCTGTATAAACTCCTAACCATAAAAAGGAATCTACTTCAAAGCTACCATAGCTCTCAGTAAAAAACTACAGCACTAATGTGCACAGCTTAAATTCTGTTCATAATTTCTCTACAGTCAGTAGAATGTTAMACTGATACATAAACGTTGCATTAAAATGGAAAAAAATACAAAAGGGAATATGACTTGTTAATCCCACCTTCAACAGGATTTTATTACACATAGCTAAAGCTGATGGCAAATACAACAAATTCATGCAGAAATGAGATAAGAAATGGATTTAAAGTAATGTTCTTCTCATAATCCAGATGCTGCATAGATGATGCTAATTTACAACRAAATTGCATTGTGGAATACTAGAATTCTGCAAATAGTAACTACAGTATGCAATAAAAGTGTTCAATTAATTTATCCAACTAAGCTTGTTTTTATTAAATAAACTTAAACTCTTAAAACATACTATGTGTTAACTGGTCAGTTGTGCTGACTTGCCATGTGGATGGCAAGGATGAAGGATGAAGAGGTTTTCTTGAGAAATTATGTCCATATGATTCTGTGATTTTTCTTCTGAGAACTGACTCTTAGAAAAAAGAGAAGGAAATCATCACACTTCTGTGAGTTATCAGGGTCTGGGTAACTGCTTTCACTCCAGCTATTACTCCCCAGTACCTATAGCTGTAAAACGCTCTTTATTTCTCTTCTTAAGCTGTAGTTTTAAGTAATTTAGCATTTCATTCACCCCAGGGGAAGTGCAATTCCGTCTCTAAAACCAATAGATTCATGCTGTTTCCCTACTATCAAGTTTCCAGGTTTCCTGCTCACATGTATACACTCCCATAAATACATACAGTATTTGACAGATACAGATGCAGCACATACCTTTTCACAGCTAGTGACTCTGCTTACTTCTGTCCTCAAACCACATTCGAGACGGTGACCCAAAGGCTAAAACATATTTAACACTTTGCCTACCTACTGGCCAGGACAAGCAATTTTTCTTTTGCTCTTTTTACTTTGTTTTCCTAAATAAATCCTCCATTTTTCATGAAATAAAAGAAATTTGATATATTTTATCTATCCACAAGATTCCTTAGTGAATCCACTCTCCCTCTGACACGGACTGACCACTCTTCAATATGTTTACATTTTTTAATGTTTTGGATAGATGGAAATAAATGACAAGCATCAGGAAAAGGCTTCTCTTTAATTATGAAGGGTTTTTTTGTCTATCCAGGTTATCATAAAGCAATAGATGTGTCCTTGCAGTATGTTTCTCCTGAGTCATGCTAGTTCAGCTAGCTGGTTGTATATGGAAGACATACATCAACCACTCATCAACAGCAACATAAATGAGGCAGGAAGTGAAAGTGAAAATGGGCAGATTATAGATAAACCAATATTATAGCCGGAGTTAAAAAGACTTGCAAAATGCAAAAAAAAAAATGCAAAGACTCTATATATTAGTAAGAATTTCTACCTGAGAGAAATAAAAATATCTAATATCCACATTTGATTCCTTAAGATGCAAACATATTCTCTTTGTTTCCAGCAATAACACAATACTTCACATTGTTATAGCCAACAACTGGTATGCACCAGTTTTCTTCAAGGTAAAGGCTGGACTGCTGTAGTCAAATGTAGTCAAAAGGAGCTCTTTTTAAAAAAATCTCAAAGGAAATATTGACTCTTAATTACTGAAGGGATGTCAACATTACTGCTCAGAATTAAAAATCAAATCRAGAAAATAACATCTAGATAAAATAACTTTTTCTTGTAAGTATGAATTAGGAAATCTCTACTTTGCCACCTTGCCTTCCACTTTTTTAAAACTGGGATGGAGGTGATCAGCTCTGGCAGCAACATGCTCATACTTCTTCCCACACGTTGAGATCTTCACCTATAATCAATTAGCAGGCACTGCTGACTGTGAAAAAAGACAGAGATTTCTGCTGTTGCTATGATTTAGGATTACCGCCTTTAAGGAGGTGGACTTTTCCTAAGGCACTTCCATTATTAATGTCATTTAAATGCTTTTTTTAATGTTTAAAATGCTTTAAATAAGATTAGAATCCTTCATTCAGAAATGCTCAAAAATATCTTTTAAAACCAAGAGCACCCCTGAAATGCTTGTTTTATCCCAACAAAAGGCACTGTTTCCCCTGAAGGTTGAAAAATCTAGCACTCTGCAGGAAACTCAGTCAAAACTGGCTGATCCCACAGATCTCAGAGAAAATTATGAAAAAAAAAMCACCTACAGATTTTTGCACAGAATTTATGAAAACAGCATCTGTTTTTTTTTAACAGTATTTTTTCTTTGATTCTGATTTTGATTAAAAAGTCTAATCACAATTACGTTGGTTCACAGTTTTTTTACAAAAACAACTATGATAGGGTTTATATGACAAATTCTAAACTTTATTCTAAAAATAACCTAAATTCTAAACCTTCAAAAATTACCTTCTAAGAAGCATTGGCATCTAGGCTGACTCCCTATGCAAGTCAAACTGAAATCTTCAGCATTAGCCTATTTGATGCAGAATTCTAGATMTTTCACGCTTTCACACTACGCCGTTTTGGATCTTTATTCAAAAAAACACTTACCTCTGCATATTTTGCCACTGAACTGGCTTCCACTGCATAGACTTTTCTAGCTCCAGCCTGCACTGCAAAAAACGAAAGGATTCCTGATCCGCAGCCAACATCTAGAACCACCTTGGAAACAAAAGGAACAAAATCATGAAAAGTCACTTCCTGACACCAGTTTTGACTAAGAAAGTTTTCACAGTGGCACCCTGAGTTTAGTATATGTGATATTATGCTTAAATTTTATAAATTAAAATTAAAAATTAAAAAGTATATTTTTAAAAGACTGTTGATTCGCAGATATATGTAAGTGTGTGTGGCATGGAAGAAACAGGATTTTATACTGAAGTTTCTTCAGGAGAAAAATGTAAACACTGCCCTTAGTCTGAATACCCTGGGGAAGGAAGGAAGATAAAACTTAAATATGCCTTTGAAAGTGTACAAAACCATGTATGAAAAAAAACAGTTCCTTAATATGGAAATATAAAACTGAGTTATATATTTTTCAAATATTTCTATTTTCTGACATCAATGTTAAATCTTTTACGTACGCAGCATCTGTTTTAGTCTCTCAATCATATTAAAAACCCAAAACCCCACTTTCCTTGTTGACCAGAGAGTTCACCTGCTGCAAGCCAAAATGTTGCCTAAAATGCTTTGAAGGGACAAATCTGATTTGTCAAATAGTCAAATATTCAAATAGTCAAACCCACAACTTAAGAATAATATGCATTCAGAGTGAATACCACAGCTAAGAATACAATCAGTTTCCCCTACTCTATGTCCCTATCAAGCCCCAGCTTCCTGTATGGTGCACACTATTTACCAGCCTTCAAAAATAGAGAGAAAAGGAAAAAGAAGCATACAAAATATAAAATATTTTGGCAGAAAAATGATCTTTCAGAAGTAAGAGCCCATTCTAGTCCCCAAAACTCMCTCTGTGTGACACACGGTTATTCACTGCCGAATGCAGTTCAACACACATGGTTTCAATTTGTTGTGTCACAGAAATCCTCCAATACAAAACAAATTACCATTGCTTCTGCTATTGCACATAGTTTCAAGCTGGGCACAGGAGACTTCCCTTTATTCAAATTTTCTTTCCTAGTGAAAGGATTTTATTAAGCCCATTTTTCAGATCACCAGTGAYGGGCTGTCACAGGTCCAGTTCAATTCTCAGCACTTTGCTGCATATTAGAATATGTCCCCATGCCCAGAGGAAGCAACTCTTCACAACAACAAGTGACAGCAAATGTTGGGGAAGAGAGTAGGGAGGAAGAAAATAAAACCAGGCCTATTTCACTGGGCCATAGGGCTGACAGGAAGGCTGACAGACTACTTCTAAACGCCCAAGGGGAATCACAAATATTACAGAGTTTTCTCTCTGTATATATGGAAGTTAGAAATAAGAGCCAACTGTTCAAATTGAGCATTACTAATCCAGAGGAGAAGGGTGAGCTGGTTTTTGTGCTGGATCCGTTTCCAACGCCATTTCTCACACCACACCTATGTCTACATCAGCAGGTGGTGCAACTGGGTGGGAATGTTGATGAACCCAGGTTGAAATGGGCTGCAGCTGAGGGGAGCTGCCAGGGGAAGAGGCTCTGGCAGGGCTGCAGTGGGCTGCAAGACATCAGGGAAGCTGCAAAGGAGATGGCCAGGGTCTCCACGGGGACTTATCAGAGGAAGAAGCCCAAACCCTATGCTGCAAGGAAAGGAAACAGGCAAGAGGAGCTTCTGAATACAGCAGCACCCCTTGGATACATCTGAGTTTGCTCAAATAGGTAGAAGACATACACTCCCAAGATGGAATGAGAACCAGCTGAGTCTGAAACAACATCCACACCAAAAGGAGGAGGGGACAATTTCCCTAGAAACTCAGGGGGACACATTCTAGGGATGTTTTTGTCCCTAGAAATCGCAGGGGACAGGGGCACTCATCTGCTGATCTGACATGTTATCTCAGAGGCTTCTTGAACACCAAGCGCCAAGACCTAGAAAGCTAGAAAGGGAATGTTTAACCCCMTTGGCCCTTGGATTAGTCATTACCAGTTGCCCCTCATCCGTGCGGACACCGATGATTCCCTCCTGTGTGTATCAAGGATGTATCAAGGATGACTGGTGGTGACTGGAGAGTCTCTGGGGTTGAGGGTGGAGCACATGGGATCGAGGAGCTGTGGCACCCAGTGGTATCTCCTCACTCTTGCCCATGGGAAGGCACGTAGGACTAATCTAACTTCTCCTGGGCATCAGCACCTGGTTGTGCAGGACTATGGCCTACAGGATGACAGGGCCTGCCTGAGGAGTGAGGACTGCTGGCAACAGATGTCACCCATCTAAAAATGGGGCAAGGTCATCTTTGCCATCAGGTTTTCAGCAGTGAAAAAGGTCCATGCAGAGGGAATTATGACAGCTTGAAGGGAGGTGAAGGCATGAAAAGCATGAGGAAGTACCCGGGAGACATCAGAATGGGAGAGGGTGCCACAGTCCTTGTGTGTAATCAGGATGACAGAGGAGCCATCTGAGGTGCGTGCAGACAAACCCATGCAGCATGGGACATGCAGACACAGCCACGATTTCACAGGGATTGCAGCGACACGGTGGGATAGTTTGCACAACGTCTCTCATCTTTGCTTAACACCATGCAATAGTACAGGCTGGGGCTGACTAATTAGAAATCAGCTTTTCAAAAACAGAAAAGACTTAAGGGTCCTGCTGGACAACAAGCTGCAGATCCATCATCTCTTGCAGCCAAGAAGGCCAACAGGAAAGCTGTAGCCAGCAGAAGTCTGGGAAAGTGAAATACCCACTTGTGAGATAATATCTGGAGATCTCTGTGCAGTTTTGAGATCCTCAGGTCAAAAAAAGATATTTACATTTTGCAGCAAGCCCAACAGATGTCCCCCCCACAAGCTGGTTAGGCATCTGAAGGACGTGACATATGAAGAGAAGCTTGAGGGAAACGTTTGTCCAGCTTAAGACAAGCATACTATGGGGAGGGCTTATTGCCTTCTTCATCTGCCTATGGGGAGCATACAGGGAAAATAGACCTAAGTTTTAAGATGCACAGAAAAGCTTTTTCACCATGAGTGTGGTCAAGAAAGGTTGGCCCGCAGGGGCTGTGGAATCTCCATTCAAAGTGCAGGTTTGCTCTAGATATGTCCAGAGGTCCTTTCCCATCTAACTTTCCCATCATCTGTGGTTCAATGAGTTCCCAATAGTATAGATTGATCCCAAACGGCCCCACTGGCATTGCTGCACCTCCTGCAGAAGGAGCCACTTCCTCTCACCTCTCGCTTAAGATGATGTTAATAGAAAGGTAGGAGTACTCACTACCACAAAGTGCTGAGAAATATCGATATATGGAAACTGCATGTTTATTTCTAAAGAGAAAAATTCCCTAGTGAGCATTTTAAGATAAAAAAATAGACAGGTGGTTGGGTTATGAAATGTAAATTCAGCAAGCTCAGTATTCATCAAAAATCATGGTGTTGATAAGAACCAATGCCACATCCCTCTGACCACAGCTCCTGCACAGAGGAGTAACTTTCCAAATGTGAATTTAGTGGGAGCTACTCACATGTAGAAATAATGTTTGCATGTAAAATCAGAGCCCTGAAAAAGCCTCTTGAGTAAGAGGGGGGGAATACACCAAAACAGCAACAGAGCAGAGCCATAAAGCAGTAAGTTTGAAATACTAAAAACCTACGATTACATTCATCATGTGGAATTATCATCTATTGCCAAGAAAATATAAAGAAAATTATTACTATTGTTATTATAAACATGTGTCTCTGACTGTGAAGTGTGAATAGCTCATTTCGCTGACCCTTTTTCTAGAATCACTGGAGCAATTCTGATCCTCATTGTTTTCCTTTAAGTAAATTATTTATATAAATAGATTATGAAAGAGAAACAAAAGGAAAAAACATGAAAAAAAAAACCCAAACAAAACCACAAAAGGTTCAAGAATCTCAGACTTATTTTCAAAGAACTAGAAATGTAGCATGGCCTGTATGAATTTGCATTATGCAGTGCTACTGTGCAATTTATTTTGGGGGCTTTTCTTTGAAAAAAATTAATTAAACCACTTTGAACTTTGTTCACTTTGTTGGTTCTGTAAGAATTCAAAATTCAAGAAACTTTTACTATGAAAAATTAGTGAAAGCTCTAAGGAAACTTCTCAGCAATCAGAGGAGCATATGACAGTAAGGATACACAGGCCACACATACCAGTGTGAAAAGCCCAGACTCAGGCACATTATACTCTTAAATGGTTTCTCCTTATTCTTTTAAGTTCCCCTGAAATAAATTGCCACCCCCAGCAGATGGTCCTGAAATATCTTACTTTTTATAGAAAGGATGTGTTTGAATGCATCATTAAGACCCCTCTCAAAGGATCTAGAATTAATTTCATTAGTTTAATTCTGATCACCTGCTTCACTTTCTGATGTATATTTTTCAAAAACAATAAGAAAAATATATATTTTAAGTCTCAAATCCATTTACTACTGTAAATTAAACTTCATTCTACTCAGGAATTTAGGAAAGTAGGCAGCAAAGGTAATAAAATATGATAAAGAAAGCCAGAGTAGTTAGGAAACAATCAGTCCAATATTAATTCAATGAAAACTCATCCCATAAACAGAAATATAAAAATAATTATGGCTCCTTTTCTCTCCACATTGCCACCTTTAGACATTTGCCTACTTTCCATTTTTTCTGAGTAAAAGACAAAATATAGCTGCAGTATTTCTAAGATAGCCAGCTAAAATCTCAGCAGAATGGGATTCTGAGGTTCTCATGGGAAAACGCTTTGTCACAAGGTATCCAGGTTAATATTCAGACATATTTGTTCTGAAAAATTTCCATTTTGAAACGGGATCAGGAAACAGAAAGATCATTTTCTAGGTGGGCGTCCAGAGACACCCAGACAGTCTCACGGTTAGGTATGCTGAAGAGAAGCCAAAGAAGCTCCAACAGCCTGGAAAATAAATAAACTAAGAGCAAAAGCACACAGCTGGGCTGCGGAGCAGCAGCAAGCCTGACTAAGGAGGGAAGGAATGTGCAAAGCACAAACTCCTTACCACAGGTACGAAAACGAAACAGATACATGGTACTTACAGGCATAAATACACATTTTGTATTATAGCACGTGGGCAAGACCTGCTGATGACACAAAGTCAGGTTACTCAAGACAGACCTAACAGAAATGAGTGACTGGACAATACTAAGAAAAACTCAATTGATTTTCAGGAAATCTGTATTATTTACACACTATTCAACTCCTCAATGGCTAGATGGATTTAGATTAAAAAAAAGTTCAGATTTCTATGGAACATAGAGAATATCAACTTAGATGTCAGRATTCTACAAATCTGTTGTACTGCTTGCCTGCACCACCAGGTATAACTCCTGCCAATCCTTACAAAAACAGGTTCAGCAGAATTGATGGTAGGTCTGAAGAAGAACGATTGGAGTGGTAGGAGGTCACAAGCAGTTTCTTCTTAGAGAAAGAGCCTGAGGGAACTGGGAATGCTGACCGCAGAAGAGAGATGAGAAGGCAACTCAGAAGGCAGGACAGAAATTTACGCAGTGGAGGAATAAGTTAAGAAAGTCAGCTGGGAACATTAATCATTTCTTGCCTCATAAGGTAAAAGCAAAATGACACAACTGGAAAGCTGAAAAACCCAGAATCTTATTAAAAAGGATTCATTTCCACACAACGTGCCMTTATATTACCTAGTTATTGACAATAATTACATTTTTAAATATTATTACGGGTGGGATGAGATAGGATTGCACAGGAAGACAGCCCTGCCTATGGTGAGAAAAATCCCTAGAGCTTATGCAACCAATTTCAATTGAAAAAAAGAAAGTAAAAGATTTGCAAGAGATATTAAGCCCTGTGCTTTGGATTTTTAGAAACCTAAGAAACTACAATTGGCAAATGATGGGGAGAGTTGTTATCCTACATTTTCTCAGTGTAAATTTTCTTTTACCTTTTTCTGAGGTGCCTGGTCTGGAGAATGTAAAAGGCAAAGTATAAAATGAAACAACAAAAAAGGTCATTTTATTAATTATGGTAGTTTTTAAGATCTGCATATTTTTATGCTGGAGATGACTCTATGCACCTGAATTCCTAAGCAAAAGCTCCTACATTCTTTCCAACTCATTGCCACATATAAATGGAGTCACAACAGCTCATTACATGTTTGTTTAGTCTGTAATAACTGCAAGATGGTAAAATATTCAGTGTAGACCTCAAAAAAAAAGAGATGCAAACTAGAATATTTTTGTAGATATTTGCAAGAGGCCACAAGACACAATATCAATCACACAGCTGACAGTTAAATAAACTCGCARAGGGCAGCAAAAGAATCTGATACTCATATTTGGATCTATATTTCAGAACATTCATCTTAGGATGTACAGGGTACCATCACCACCATGCATTATCATCCATGCATTTGAAGACGATATTACAATACAAAAAGCAAACACACAGAAGTTAGTACACTTATATACAAAGTCTCAGGTAGGGCAAAACTCAAGTATGATCAGTGTTGTTCAGTTAAAAGTTTAAAGCCTAATCAGTACACTGGAATATTAAAAATTCTTAGTACAGCTCACCTTGTCCTTAAAGTCTATGTGGTTCTGCACGATGGCCCTGTGATACGTGGCTGTCCTCACAAAATCCTGCATCATGTTCTGTTGTTGGGACAGACAGCCATAAAACTGAAGAGGAGAAAGAGAAAACAGAGAAAAGATAAAGCACATCAGTCTGTCTTGTTCTTCAATTACTAAAGACAGGACCACTCATTGAACAAAATGGGACTATCTTTCTAAAAGACCTGGTGACCAGATTAAGAGTATAACTGTAACTTAGGTGTCACAAACTGACACTGAGGAGTTTCATTACCTGAAAATACTGGGAAGCAGATGATTCATCTGTTCGCTGACTGAACACAGAGTCTTTCTTCTTTTGGTTACAGCATTTCTTTAATGCACTGGAAAATGTACTGTATTCTGGGGGAAAACAAAAACAAAAACCCACAAATGTAGCAAAGCTATTCTGCCAGAGTAAAAATAAAATAAATGTTATGAAGTGGCAGGTGAGGAACACATTCATTAAGACTTCAGAAAAACGTTTCATTTAGTTTACAGTGCTCATAAATATACAGTAAGGTTTCATTTAAAAATTCAATTAAAATTTCAAAATTTCATTAAACAAAGAAGAGCTGATACAAAGACCTGAACAGCATCTGTTTTCATGACCTCATATATAAAAATATTTTGTCAAGGATTCTCCAGTATGGTCAGTAAAATGGAATAGATATCTGTGATGGTGAACTCTAAAGCTCAGCCTGAAAATAAGCCTGAACATAGTGCTTTGGGTTAATCGATGTTAATTCATGCTCAACACAGAGAACCCTCTAGAAGCAGGTGATGTATGTGATGTATGGATTTCATTGTCTTGAATTAACACAGGCTAATTGGCCTAAAAGATCAGGCTGAGGGCTATGCATCTTTCYTTAGAAGCAGTCTAACAAAACGAAAGTTCAGAGTAGCAATATTCTGGCTGCTGTAGACACAATGTTTTTTGTTATTACACAATTAACAGGAAAATTAAAGTGGGTCCAAAAAGCAGTGAGGAAACCATACCAGAAATGAGAAATAGGAGAAAAATGTCAATCAGGGAAAACAGTATGATCGATAACAATTATGTATTTGATAGCAATTACTTATCTTCTGCTCATATGAAGACAAGAGAAGACAAAAAATAATCGAAGTACACTATGCTGATAGTCAGAGGCAGGAAACTCCTGCACAGGTCAGAGATTCAAATGAAAACAGCCAGTGCCTGCAGCATAAAAGTCAGTGCATTGGGAAGTACCTGTTAAGACTCTGAGTGCTTTTGAAAAGAATAACTAATTAATAAAATTAATGTATCAACACAGAAATCAAGGAGAAGAATCTCCTTCATTGTTCCAGGAAATTCTGATATCATGAAAASACAGATTTGGTTGAACTGATTCTCTTTTGCTGCAAAAGATGACTTTTGCAAAGGAAGACAGTTAAAAAATGGCTTTCCTTCTAGCTTTGGAAATTAAGGCAACCTCAATTTCAAGTTACTGGAGAATGAAAACAAAGATCCATGCTTACACAAATAAGTACAATAAATAATACAATAAACAAATACAATTTACAATAAATAGGTATAGTCACTGGAAAGTCACGAATAAAGTAATTTAAAGTTCAATGTTTTAAAAAGAGGTAATAAAAAAAGTTTGGCTAGGCATTTGAGAGATAATCCTAGCAGAAAATGTTAAATCCTTCATAGAAGTTTATAGTAAGATTCTGAATCTGAAACATCTAGTTTTCAGTAAAAGCTTCACAAATTTCYGCTGTTGCTATCCGAGCCTCCTAGTTTTTGCCCAGCTAGAAATCAGTACAACCTGAAAACCAGATGGAAAAAGCTCTGTCTTTCAGACAGTCACTCGTTGTTCCCCTGTAAGAATTTAGCACTGAAAAGTGGCAAGTACTCATAGTTCCCCAGGAAAGTCCAAATCAATTGAGGACACATTGCCTTGAATGTCTGGGCAACCACAAGCTAGACTAAACATAATAAAATCTGCTCTTAAGCCTATTAGAGTAAGTAATGTGTCTCATCTGARTTCAAATTATGAGCAGTCTAATGGATACAACAGAATCAGCATGTTGAAAGCCTGGAGCAATAGCTCTGGGAAGAACGAGCWTTCCGTGGATGAACAAGTCACTTGAACATTATCCCAGTAAAAAACTGCATGTGGCAGACGCTGTAAAACACAGTTCATCCATTTATTCATCCATTTGAACTTTATTCAAACAAGTTTCATCTGCTGATGAAATAAATGTGCCACAGAACCCCCATGCAGAAAAGTCTCCTGACATTTCTAGGTGACAGAAAGTCCCACTCAGTTACTTCTGGCCTTTCAGCTCTCGTGGGAATAAGATGTCATATTAAACATCTCCATTTGGGGTGATCTTCAGATTAGAAATTACTTAYGAACCGCTATTGGTTATGAATTCCAGAAGTAATAGCAAAATGTCATGAAAATGTGTGAATGGCACCAGCATGCCCTTTTCACTCCCACACAACAGTGATTTTGAGCAGAATGTCACATTAAGTGACTGGCTCATGAGAAGGCCCAAAGAGAAGACGGTGCCAGGTTTTAGATGGAAATCGGGAAATGTCCTTCACTGAACCTGAAGAAAAAAACCTGGATATTGGAAATCTTTTCCAGACAACCAGTCAATACCTTAGTCTTCACCCACATCTTTCTATCTGAAGGTTAGGGATGATGTAACAGGTTCAGCAATACGTTTGTTTTCCTTCTCTGCAATCGCTCTTCAAGGTTAGTTATTTTTATCATATGTCTGCAGAAACTTTYTAGCAGTTTTGATTAACACTCAGAACATCATCTTTGCTGTCCAGGAGTAAAAAAAAGGGTCTTCAAAACAAACACAGTGCAAGAAAAAATGGAAACTGGAATTGAAACCCAATGAGGTTGTGCAGTCTCCATCCTTGGATATTTTCAGGATCTATCAGGGCACAGCCTTGAGCAATCTGGGATTGACTCTGCTTTGAGTRAGGGATCTGGAACTGATGACCATCCCAGATCCCTTCCAAATTAATTATGCTAGGATTTTATGACAAAAGTAAGATTTACTTGTACACAATACTCCTCTAGGTACAAATAAGATATTTACAAATAATTTCTCTACAGTGCTGGTGAATTACAACACTAATACTGAGTTGGAGAGCATAAAAAACAGGAATCATCGTAAGCCCTCCAAGGTTCTTCACAATGCTTCAGAGTGGACCTCAGATGCTCTTAAAATTTTCCTAACAGAGTACATAGAAGATAACATTTAAAAGTCAAAGATTTTAAKGGGAAATCTTTTAGGTCGCACAAATTGCCAAAGAATTGTTCATTACAGTTGCTGCCAGTTTCAAGTATTATCTGAGAAAACCAGATACATACTCATTTGTGATGATTATTGTGACAAATAACAAACTTCTAGTTTTTAATGTAGAAAAAAGTAAGTAGTTAGCTGAACTGAACATTTCACACAACGTGGATATATAAACTGAAAAGAATACATTGTGAAGCTTTCATAAATTCTCCCATTCAACTATAGAAAAGAGACACACTTCTAGTTTTACAGCATGGACAAGGAACACAAAACTTCCTTCTTCAACTGACTGCCTCGGGAATCATGAAAGCATTTCCCTAGTCTACCTTCTGTATCCACCGTGTGTTCGCAGTAGCCTGTCTTCTCTGCATTTGCTTGTGGAAACAAACATATTAACCTTGTAACCTCTCATATTCCCTATATAAGAACTCATGCTCCCTTCCTTTAATATTTTATATGTCCTTATTTGTATATTGACCAAAGTGCTTAAAATGAAAGTTAATTTTGACCTTGCTAAGAAGCTGGAATTTCATGTGTAATACAYAGAAGTATATGCAGAAATGGTCCTAGCCCTTATAGAAATGGATTTCATTTCTTATTTGAAAGTGGAAGAGGACAGGAAAAGAGTCTATCCCAAAAGCAGTTAGGCTCACWAACATTTGGGAATACTGGTACATCATCCACTTGCAGACTCCCTGTTTTGCATACAAGAGTCAAACATATAGAACTAAAAATCAGGAAAGCATTTTCTGAGAAGAGCCAAAGAATATTTCTCATTCATTATCAGCCCTGTATCTTTCAGGACATTCTAGCACCCCCTGCATTTGTTCCTTCTGCTGTCTTCTCAATGCCTTACAAAGCCTTCTTCTTTCCACCTTCAGAACTACAATGTCTTCAAAGGCAAAAAACAAATTCCTGTACTCCCATCTCCCCATTCACTTAAATCAAACTTTCAATTTTCCATTTACAAGTAGGGAAAAAAAACTCAAAAAACTTTGTGAGTCTGGAAGCCATATTCTCCTAGCTGTAAATTAATGAGTCAAGGCTTTCAAATGCATTTACTACTTCCCACACACTGTAAGACTGCCAGAAACCACTCAAACAAGAATAACAATGTTCCTGAGAAGAAGGGCATGCAGACATATTTATKGTCTTCAGTATCTCAAAAACAAACAAACAAACAAAAGAAAGGAGCCTTATCTGGATGTCGTTCAGAAAGACAATACTGAGAGAATATGCCATAGATACGTAGTTTATATTACTTCATCGGGACACCAGTACTCTTAGTAACTATGCAGGTGCAAACTCTTATCCCACAATAACTGTTATCTCCTTCCAATGAGAAGTTCCTTCACTATTATTATACATATAATGACARAAACATTCCCACAGGCAGTTAGTTACCAAGGAATGGTAAAAAATACGCAGCTTACTCTATAATAAATGTTCCTACGGAGCAAAACATATCTTACGGAATTCATTATTAGCTCTCAGAACAAAAGTGTTAGCTCTTTGCTATTKAGAAGGCCATGAAAAAAATCCTCACACTTGCACGATGAAGTCGTTTTTCAGGGATCTTCTTAAGAGGAAAAAAGAAAAAAGTTTTCTCTTGCAAATAAGTTCACAGAACATAAAAACATCAAACATCTTTGAAAGTTAGGCTTGTTAAGATTYTGATTTGTTTCTTATTCTACTTCTTTTTTCTTTCTGATTAACATTTGAAAATGCATTATTTCTGTGAATCCTTTTGAGAGAAAAGACGTATTTTGCTGAAGAATGAAAGCATCTGATATTGGGGTTTTGACTGCCTATATATCACCACTAACATGTAKTGTTGGACATTAAACCCATCCTATATAACTTATCAGTGACATATTACAAAGAGTATTGCACCAGTGGCCTTAAACTCCACTGGTGAATGGAAAAAGTCCACCTAAATACTGATTTCTGGGACTAAATAACACTAATCCAGATAATTCTGCTCTTGTGCATCTAGTGTGTGGGTAGCTGCAAACCCCTGCAACACRCAGCAGGCCTAAAATATCACTAAAATGACTGCACTCTGCATT